GAGCTTATGAATATTTAATTTCGGAAGGATAGAAACATATATTTCTTCTGACGTCGAGAAGAAAAATCCCATGCAATAGGCCCTTTTAGGTCTCCTATTTGTAGAACTTATGGAGGTGAAAATCAAAATAATTTTGGTTGAAATTAATTTGAATCCAAACCACAATAATAAACTCAGCCCATAATTATCCAAATTACCTCTTTGGAGTTTCTACTTAACTTGATAGACGAAACAATTGGCTCCACAGGTTAAGCAGATGTGCTAACTTGCTCTAAAATGGATATAGAATGCAACATGAACTTGACATTAACATCAAAGAAGCAATCACTAACACCTCTACCCCAAGCCAGCACAACTCAATGGACAAGGATAATATATTCTCAATAATACGATGTGAATATCATGGCATGTTCATGTGCCAAGATATGGAAATATCTACAGCAACCCTCTAAAAATCTCGATCCAAATATTTGCAACGAGAGAAATCATTCAGTAGAAGTTAAGTGCTCCTGAAGAAGATTTTATTAGGTTGTCCAAAACTAGAAGCAGCAGGAACAAACTAACAATCATATGCCTTTCTTCATCCAAACTTAGACTCATGATCCTTAAAAATGACCTATAAAACCACTGAGCATTCATAAACTTAGATAAGGAACCACCAGCAGATGACAGAAAAAGCAAAGAGGGGTAAAACAACTAAAATTTTAGCATATATATGCATGTCCGTAGGATCTTTCACATTGACAAATTTCTTGATCTATTTCAGATCTTTCTTGGCTTTTTGTAGTAAAGCATGTTTTCATATTGCCCATAAATAACAATTATAGGCAAAATGAAGTTTGTGAAGCAGTGACCAAAACTAACATACATACAATTTTTAAAATATATAAAACATGCAATAGGCATACACGTGAGTACTAAAAGCACCCGTTGAACATTACAACAAATTCAAGCGGCCCCAAACAATCTAGAGTATTTAAACAGTAATGCCTGACAAAAATCATAAAAGCCTACATCCTTATTTGAATAATCATAATGCTTATACAAATATGACTAAAAGGAAAAAATAAAGTAATAAAGATATTGCAAGAAAGAATAATATCCTCATAACAAGGATATACTACAAATAATTCATGCTATAGATTTCTAATAAATATTAAGCATATAAACAATATTAATATGTTAACAAAATAATTCGAATAACTCTAAACCCTCCAACTAACTCATGATGCTAAACAAGGAGCATCGAGAGTTTGTATGGTCCAAGAAGAACCAAGTGATCCAAACTATATATGTTTAACAACTTTTCAGAATTGTCTATCTAGGCCAATCAACAGTAGAATGAGACGTTCTTTGAAAAATGGAGAACAATTGAGAGATTGATGCTAGGTCAATCTTTGTCAAAAGCAAAGGGCGATAGAATCATTTCAAGAGACAAGATTCTCACAGAATCTTCATGGAATCTTCATAGGATCTCCAAGAGATCTTCGCCTAATACTTATGAGATCCTCTTGAGATATTCAAGAGTTATTCGAGATAGGAAGCGAAAGCAAAGTTAGTGATGAAACGAATATTCAAGTTAGTAAGAGAAGTAGTGGAACATTGGAACAAGCCCAAGCCGACAAGGAAAATTGCAATGAGGCTAACAAGGCATGGATAAACAGATCATGCATTGATGGATTACGAGTGGCAAGCAGAATAGCAACAAGAGGAATGAACAAATGAATCACAACAAGGCATGAGTAGGAGGTCTGCCTAAGCGAACGAATAACGAAGCGACGAGTCCCGAGGGAGCAAATCCCGGGCTAGGAGATCCATAAGAGATATTGGATACTCCCATACATATCATTGGCACAAAATGGCGTATACCATGGTGCACCGCAAGGCACAATGCACATACACCGTTGTTTACTTGGCGCGGTGTAAGTACTTAAAATAGTGCGCGCTATTTGCGTCATACATGAGCAATGGTGCATGGCTCAAGGTGCGAATAGCGCGAGCAATTTTATTAACATGGTATAAATTTCAAAATTCTAAATTATAATTATTTTTTTAGGATTTATATATTAATATAATAATTATTATTAATTAATTAAACATCAAATTAATAAAATATAAAAAAAATATATTTTATCTTAATAGGATTTAGTGTTACTTTTCTCATCACCATTTCTTTGTTGTTAGTTCAGCTTTGTGTGCGTTACGTGAAGTAGAGTTTTTAAAGAGTCACTCCAGGAAGCTTTATTCGCCTCCTTCAACAATGACAGAGCTAGTCACAGGGGCCTGCAATGAAAGTAGCGATTGCTTTTTCCCTTTCACAAACTTTGCCCGAAATAGAGTTTTGAAAGATTCGCTCAAGTAAGCTTCCTTTCCTCCTTTGACGACAACATTCCTGTCAAATCGGAAGTCGCAGGGGGCTTGTAGCGAAGGTTACGATCATTCTTCCCTTTCACATGTTTCTTCAGCTCAATTGTGTTAATGTAAAACTGAGAAGGAATAGTATTTAACTTTTTGCATGATTTAAAGTTGTCATTTTTGCTGTTTGGCAGGATTTAGGCAAAAGTATGGTTAAATTCTACTTAAATTTTTAGCTAAATTGCGTTAATGTAAAACAGAGAAAGAACAATATTTAACTTTTTGCAAGATTTAAAGCTGTTATTTTTGCTATTTGGCAGGATTTAAGCTAAATTATGTTTAAATCATGCTCAAATCTATCGATGTGAGTTTCTTTAGGGTTTAAAGTTGTCATTTTTGCTATTTGGAGGTATATTTATGTTTAAATATTGCTCATATCAATCTATTATTTGCTATTTAATGGTATTATATATATATATAACTATTTTATGTGGTGTGCCATATTTAATGTGGCGTGCGCCACACCATGCGCTATGCTCCATGACTCCACGGAGAACTTTGCATCGTGGTGCACCATTCGTCATTGACAAGTATGGATCCTCCACGAGATCTTCACATAGAGATAAAGGTGAAGATTTAGAGAGATGACTCTAACACTGACAAAAATCACAAAAAATTTTAATTTTAGTTGAATAATCCTAATGTTAAAATAAATATAACTATATAAAGACAAGAGCATGAAGTAATAAGTACAATAAATAAGAATGTCCTTCATAATGAGTATATACTATAAGAATCAATAATATAAATTTTAAATAAATAACAAGTGTTAGAATTCATAGAATTTGATAAGGGTAAAAATACCTTCTACTTATTATACAAAATTATCCCTATTTATAGATCTATACAAGATGTCTTAATAAAGAAATAAATAACTTCTAATTGATACATAATTGCCTCAATATAATCCTTCCTAATTCACCTACCCAAATACAGAAAGATATTGGCGTGATCCAGGTGAGCCTCACATGGATTCTCATCCTGACCGTGGGATCAAATGTCAAGGGATGACTGAGATTTTGACACTCCCCCTCAAGCTGGAGACCAGCTTGCAATTACCCGCTCAGAGGTAGAGCTGCATTGGTTTTAGATAGGATATCAACCACAAGAGAAAGCCACCAACGAAGGCCGATGATGGAAAACTATCCTCAAAATTCCAACAATTAAGGCCGGTTGTGGGAACTTGTATTCCTCAGAATTCCAGCAATGAAGGCCGGTAGTGGTAACCTGTATTTCTCATAATTCCACCAATGAAGGCCGGTAGTGGGAACCTGTATTTCTCAGAATTCCAGCAATGAAGATCGGTGGTCGGAACTTTGTATTCCTCAGAAATTCAACAATGAAGGCTTCTCAGAGAAAATTTCCCTTGTCGACAATAAAGGTCGATGATAAAGATTTTCTCTCCTTCCTTTTTTTCACTAAAAAAGATTTTTTTTTTTTAAATCGAACCGATCGAGCCTTAAAAAAGGCTCGGATTGGAGTAGGGCACGGGTTGCGGTTTCACCCCCCAAGTCGCACGCGGGCTCGGCTTCATCCCGTGAGTCGCAGGTGTGGATTGTCTGGGATGTGAGATCGAAAGGGGGAATCGAGTCGACCTCGTCTGGGATGTGCGATCAGAAGGGGGGATCGAGCGGGCTGCTTTGCTCCTTCATCGACTTTCCCTTTCTGTCGGATAGGGTACGATGCTCCTTCGGCTCTTATGTGACTGTTCAACTAGGCTTCTTCGTCTCGAATTGGAAGTTCCGATGGAGTCGCTCGTCCCATCCAGCGTATATGGGTCGGCAAGGATCAAGTCTCGGATGCCCCGAGCTTCTTCTTTTCTCTTCCTCCTCCAACGATCTAGGATCATTCTTCGACGGCAATTAAGGCTGTTGGCTCTAATATCATGTTAGAATTCATAGAATTTGATAAGGGTAAAAATACCTTCTACTTATTATACAAAATTATCCCTATTTATAGATCAATACAAGATGTCTTAATAAAAAAATAAATAACTTCTAATTGATACATAATTTCCTCAATATAATCCTTCCTAATTCAGCTACCCAAATATAGAAGGATATTGGCGTGATCCAGGTGAGCCTCCCACGAATTCTCATCCTGACCGTGGGATCAAATGTTAAGGGATGACTGAGATTTTGACAATAAGTATATAGGATAATATTAATATGGCAACAAAATAATTCAATAACTATAATAATGCCTAGAAGCATAGAAAAAATTAGCATTTCATACTAATTCACATGCAAAATAACAAAAAAGAGGACTACAAATCCGGATGAGCAGTTGAATCCATCTGAGAATCATAAAAATCTAGCCCAACTTGTTGGATTAAAAATAAATGGATATAAAATTTGGAAGTATTCAAATAGCAGAAACATGAGAGCAAGTGGGTCAAAATTCCACACATTTGCTGCAAACCGGAAGAACAAGCATTCATGTCGGAGTCCAAACACAGGTGTATGTAACTATCCTGAAATTGGCAAAATTATCCATAATGTATGAACATCAGAATGCGAATCAAGCAAGGCATTTTATTTGTTAACATAGCTTAAAAGAGAAGGTAAGTCCATAATGCCTAATTATATCCCAAAGAAAACTTAGAAGCACCATACTTCATTATAAATCTAATTTGGTACACTTAATTCACTATTATCAGTAGCATTCCTGATGTAGAAATAAACAATCACCTCGATTCTCAATTGAAAAATGCTTGAACAAATCATTAGCATATTAACAAGCAGGAATCTCTGGCCATGATTTAGAAAAAATCTAGAATCAAAGTAACCAGACCCAAGCAAAGAAAAAGTTTATATAAAAAAGATATAGATACATACCACACAAACTAAGCTCTCCACCAGTACTAATCAACCCCCTACCTTGGTATATATTGCAGAGAAGTTGGGTAACTTGTCTACATGCTTCAATGCCCGTTCTGCAATCTGTCTAGTTCGGTATTCCCCATGACGGAATGCTTCAACCAGAGCTGTTGCCACATTCTGGTCTACTGAGATTTTATAAGCAATGTCCTCTGTCCTTAGAATCCTCTCCACTGCCCACACAGCTCGCTGCCTGAGGACATCTGTCCGATTCTCCTTCAGCACCTCAAGTATTGGGTTGATGCCATCTGCTTCACAAAGAACAAGTACTCCTTGCTGAATATCCACCCCGTCATCAAGAACAGTACAGAGAGCTGCCAGTGCGGCCTCCACCACCCTCTCATTATTGTGATCCAGACAAGCAATCAATTTCTCGACTGCCTTCCCTTCCAAAAGGCAGAAGCTCTCCTTTATAGAACAGTCACCATGGTGGATACGGCATAGCCCAATCACAACTGGCTGTTTACTGAAACAAGGGAATATTGAAGCGCAGAAACCTGGTTCAGGTAACTCTGGTATTTTTGTCAAATGTTTAGACTGCTTGGAAAGATTCTCCAGTGCCATAGCAGAAGCCATCTGTGCCTTATCTATCCCATTTGTTTGAAGGAGATCGGTAAATAGGGCTGCAAGATTATGTTCCTGAGCAAGGACTACAATCCCCGATTCATTCTCTAAAAGATAGGTAATCCGAGAGAGAACCCTGACTAGCCCTTCAAGATAGGGACTGACAAACCTGTTGCCACGAATCTCCCCGTGCCGGATCTTTAAAACCTTGGAAATGATCATGGGGAAGGCTTCTTCAGCAAGAAGCCGCCTGATCAAACCTAAATCCTTCTCAGGAAGTTCAGCTAAGAACCCAATTGCAGCTGATTGCTCCTCTGTGATCCCATTGTTTTCTGCTATAACTCCAATCAAACTACCAAGCTGTCCAGCAGTGCCTTGTAGAGCATCTGAAAGTTCCCGCCCCATGTAAGGCGAGATATTATGCAGCAGCTTTATGGAAGCCATGCGAATGTCTTTCTGAGGGGCATCAATAAACTGTATGAGACTAATGGTAGCACCTGAGCTCTTGATGGCAGAAACAATGTTTAGGACACTTGTGGAAGAGCTTGTGAGCCCAACAAGCATCTGAAGGAGCTTGCACTCTATTGCCGGACCAGTATTGCTGATGAGAAGGAGAAGATTGTGAACAATATCCTCGGAGACTAGAGTTTGGTGATCTGAATCAAGTAGGACGGATTCAAAACCAGACCCTGATGCAACAATATTTGCAAGAATAGTTGCAGACACCTCTTTCAGTTTCATTGGAAGCTGGTCAAAACCAACGGTAAAGAGGTCCTTGACAAGAGGTGGAAGGATACCAGCTTGGATAAGTATCTTAGCACTTGCCTCATGTGATGAAATCTGATTCAGCGCCTTAAGTGCAGCTTCTATAGCCTGCTTACTACCAGACTTCATGACATCAACAAGAGCAGAGCCAGCAGTTTGGGCTACAAAGACCTTATCATCATTGCTTAAAACAAGTTCTCCCAAGAATGCAGCCATGGACAGTTGTGTCTCAGGTGAACCTATGTCAAATACAAACAAGTTGTTTTAGAAGGTTAACAACATCAATGCCTTTGCAAACAATACAAAAACAAAAAAACTAGAGTCAGAAAAATAAAATTGCAAGTAAGAAATATGAATCAAGAATGCTTCTGATTTTCATAATCACATAATCTATACTATGGGAAAAGAAGGATTTACCAGTGAAATAATTTCGTCAGAAAATCCGTCGATTGTTGAGTGTCCCGGTAGAATTTTCAACCAAAATGGCTGTCGGAAATTTTACTTAATTTCCAAAAAAAAACCGTCGGAAATTCCACCATATAAGGCACTATTTCAACCCTGATGGACTCCCTCTCCCATTTCAACAAAATTTCTCTCCTAAGCACCTCTTTCAGCCTCTCCATCACCCAACTCAGTTCAAGCATTTTTCTTTACTGTTTTATTCAATTTCTTTGAGGTATTAAAGGTAAATCTTCATCTTTTTATCATTTTCAATTTTTTTAGATTTTACCCTTTAAATTTTGTTAAAAATGAGTTTTAGGTATTTAAGTGATATTTGTTATAGAAGGACAATAAGCACCATTTTCATAGAATGGCAATGAGCTGATACATTGGTGATGGAAAAGATTAATGCCTTGAGAGTTTTGCAGTAGGTACATTTTTTTATTTCTTTCCAAATAAGCGATGTGATTCATGATTTATGTTGAGTTTGCTGATTTAATGCACCTACCCTTTCAAGTGAATGCTGACCTCAATTATTAATCGTACATTTTGATGTTATGTTTGTAATGATGTCACCAAAATTTATCTCTCAAAGATGATTTGTTGTGATAAATATCACCTCTGTTAGGCCAATAAGATGAATTAAAACTATATTCTTTATGTATGAATTATCTTTTTTGCCTCCAAGTTTCTGAGGTGTACCATACGGTGAAAATAAAGATACTGTCAAAGAGGATTCCTTTTTTGGATTTCTGTGGTTGAGAAAATATCAGTTGAATATTACCATAGTAATTGACACATTTGTTTTGTACTAGAATGCCAAATATCTCAACTACACTCCAGCGTTTATTATTTTCTTCATCTAATTTTGTAATGTATCTCTTAGAATTAATTTCTATGTATGTAGCTTCTTGATTAGGTTTACAAAAGTTCAGTCACAATTAGATATGTAGGAACCTGTTCTGCATACAAACATATGCACATGTATTCAGTCATTCAGGAATTTTTTTTTTGCTATAGATTTCCGACAACAAAATCCGTCATAAATTCAGGCGAAAAATTCCACTGGAATTTTGGTCGTTTAATTTAAGCTGATTTCCGATCGAAATCCGTCGGAAATTGAAATTCTTTGATTTCCGATAGATTTTCCCATCGAAAATAACTTATTTTCCTAAAGTGCTAACTAGGAGGTCAAAAAACATGACAACTAAGTCTTCAAGAGCTGGCAAATACTTTGTAAACAACCTATTTACTAGAAGTTCATATAGAAATAAATAAATTGGCCAGAGATGAGAAATGATATGCGGTAAATAAAAACATCAAACTGCTTGAATTAAGGCTGATATGCTTGAAAATATGGAAGAACATGAATGTAAAAAGCATAAAGCTGCAGAAAAAAAATATATGTATATGATGGAAAAAAGGTAAAAAAGAAAATAGACAGGACCACAACTTAAGGTTTCACATAAGATAATTTGCGACAAACATGAACCCAAGTGGACTACCCAAAAGCAGATAACATAGAGAAGGAACCAAAAAAAAAAATAGAGAAGGAACCACCTTCAAGCAATTGTGTAAGAAGGGGTCTTAGCCTGCCATTTTCAGCCATTAGCCTCACATTTTTCTCATCTTTCTCCAAATTCTCCAATATCTTTTCAGCTTTCTCAACAGTCAATATATTTTCTGACTTACTACTGGCCAAACCAACCAATATAAGTATAGCACCGTTGACTCCACCAATCTTTTCAGAAAGAGATTCAGATTTTGAAAGTTCAAAAAGAAGGGACACTGCTTCTTTTCTCTCCTGGGAGTGATCATGTGATAGAAACTTCACAATTGTCCGCACGGTATCCCCTGCGGCAATAACTGTCTGCAGCATAAGACAAACTTAGTAAAAAAATATAATGAAAATTGTGCAGATCGTCAACAAAAAAATAACAGTAATCCTTCAGACAACCTTATTGTTATCATCATCTTGAGCAACTACACACAGAGTTTGCAGAGATTTGCAACGTACTTTTCTGCTACTACTTTTTAACATATCTGCAATCATAGGGATTAAATCAGCATTCCGCACTGCACGTTTGTTCAACCTGCTTTTCTGACAAATTTTCATGACATAATCTAATGCTTGTAAAGTATCACTTTCTGAGCTACCAGGGCCCAAGGATCTACAAGCATTGTCAAGCTGAGCGGCATCATTACGTTGTGTCCATTCCTCAATTGTATGCCTTAGAGCTGTGCTGGAATTCAGATCCGTGCTATTCAGTTCTTGCAATGTTAATGGGCAAATAGGCCTTCTTCCACTGTCCTTGCACTCCTTGAACCATTTCTCAATTGCCTCTCTCTCATAAGTATGCCCATTTTCTATGGTGACAGGATCCCGCATGACTTGTTTTGTCAATGGGCAAAGAAATGACTCATAAATAGGCTCAACGTGCAGCCTTTCATGATAGCTCTCATCAGACTGCCTACTGGCATCATAGCTTCCATCCCAGATATCTGCCATCACTTCAGAACACAACGAAAAAATCCTGCCACAAATTAAAATATTCATGGTTATAAGATGGATAATCACTCAATACCAAGGCATTGCTTGGTTTGAAGGCATTACAAGAGAAAATGAAAATGAAATAGAAATGGAAAATTGGAAATGGTGAAAGAAATTGTTTGAAATGATACAATTTAATTTCAACAATTTGTTTGATTGAAAAGAACTAGAGTGGATTTTTTTAATGTTTATTTGGTGATGAGATTTAGGCTTTGATTTATAGGTTGATGAGAAATGAGAAAGTGCAGTCCTTTTATTTATTACAACACTTTTTTCTATAACAATTAGAATTTATTTGGAAATTATTTATTTATTTTTTTTCCATGGAAATTGCATATTTGATAACAGCCATTGATGGTCCCTAATCTAGATGAGAAAGATTGAGGGTTAATGTTAGGCAATAGTAAAAAATTAAAATCAAATCAAAACTAATGAAATAAACTCACATTTGAATTTTTCTAGTGCTAATGCTAGTACGTTCCCTAGAGCCAACAATCAATGGATCATGACTTAACACTACCTTATGAAGTGTGTCACTATCTCGAGAAGTGTGACATTGGCTTCAGAAGCATGCAACTACCTTTGATTAATGTGCAACCGTCTTGAGAAGTATATAATTGCTCTGATAAGCGCATCATATAAACTTGCTAAAAAGCATGCTAATGCACTATATAGACACATTGAAAGGCATGCAAAGGCATTGAGCAGTAATACAAGAATATTAGGAAAATACATCAAAAAGCATGCTAGTGCACCATGTGGATGCATTGAAAATCATGCAAGCACATTAAAGAACGAGTACACAATGTAAATGCACGAAAAAGTACGTAAGTGCATCATATAGGAGCATTAAAAAATAAGTGTATTGGGAAATGTGTTGCCCAAATGCACCAAAAAGTGTAGAAGTACATTGCACAATTACAACAAAAATATAAAATTGCATTAAAAAAAAACAAGAATGACACATCAAATCATCGAAATCAAACTCAAGCGCATGTGCACTAACAAACCAGCTAAATGTTCAAGCATGAAGTCTGATAATGTGTACAGGCTAAAAACAAGTTAAACTAAAATACTTTCATTTGGAAAAATATGCAATTGCTTTGCAAAACTTACAATTATTTTAAAATTTGCAACAACCTTTTTTTTTCAAAATTAAACTCACCTACTTAAGCTCTGAAAAATATGCTAAATATTTAAGCATAAAGTCTGAGAATACTGTGCATCTTAAAAAAAAGTTGAACTAAAATTATCTCATTTTGAAAAGTGTGCAATTGCTCTACAAACCCTATAATTATTTTAAATTTTCTAACTCTTTTTTTTAACGTGTGTATTTTATGAATGTGTCAGTGTGCAAATGCATGGGATGGTATTTTTGCACTATTCAAATATGCTCAATTCTGCAAATGATCATCATTTAAAAAGATGCACAAGTTTCCTTGAGGGGCCTATGAACGCCTTTTATCCGCTTGTACGAATGTTGTGGATCCGATGGCATTGCTTAGTAGCGCGTTGAGTTTCATTTTTCACGTATAAGTGGTGCAGTTTAGCTCATTTCATCTTTTGCATGTCATTTTCATTAGCATTCTATCTGCGGGAGTGCACTTCATCCTGCAAACAAGATGTACGGTGCATTTGGAGCCTTCTACCCGTTGCTTGAAAATAAACTAATTTATCTAGAGTAACAACCTAGCGCTGCAAATTTATTGCCTCAGTTTATCAATGTCCGCAGTTTTTACTACAAATTATCTGCTTGTGCTTACAGGTGAGTCGTAGCATTGCGCTACGAGTCATTTACTACTTTATGCATGTAGGTTGTCGCACAATGCAAACTTTGTTGAACTTATTCATGATCTAGCACTAGGCATTCAAGAGCCACCAATTATTACATGTAAATAGGTCATAGCGCTTTGTTACAGGTCGCTTGTTGCTTCTTGCAGGCAGGTTGTCGTGTCATGCAAGATGATGAATCTCCTACAGTGGTTCTTAGATCTTGTATTTATCACAAGCTCATTGCTTTTGCCTGCAGGCGTTGTATTGTACTCATTGTAATCTCCTTACTTATGCCTATAGGGGCTATAACATATTTGCAATACATCCACTATCATTGTTTATAGGCAGGACTGATGTATGCACTATGAGCCTTCTATGATTATCTATGTGCAAGCGACACTAAATGTAAATTTTCTAGTGTTGTTTATAAGTGTGACTGTCATACACTTTACAATTTTGTATTCTCTGCCATAGTCCTGCTATTTTAACTCGTGAGATATTGTTGTGTGCATAACGAATCTCCTACAATGGCTCATAGGAGTTCGTATTTATTGCGGGTTTGCTCCCCTCCCCTATAGGCAGCGCGTTACAAACATTACAATTCTCTTATCTGTGTTCGCAGGGAACCCATTACATTCACAGTTTGTCCACTGTCATTGCTTACAAGCGGATTAGTGTATTCATTTGCAAGCTGGCTGAGGTTGAGCATATGGAGATTGTTATATTACAAATTCATTGCTCGTATCGTTCTTTTAGTGAGTTAACGCATTCATCAAGAGTTTTTTAGTGAGTTAACACATTCATTAGGAGTTTTCTAGTGCGTTAACACATTCATTAGGAGCTTCCTCTGTTGGTGCCTTCAAGTTCCTTCACAGGCCTGCATGCTGACTAGTATGAATATTACAAGCTTCATATTATTCATGTGTAAGTTATAGCATCCTTGTTGATCATCTCTTGCAAACACATTATGCTTGGAGTTTTTTCCACCACAAGTTGTTGCTTGCACACTTATATTTAACTTTATTATCTTGTGATTTGTGGATTCATTTTAGATATTAGGTCCAGTTCCCTATTTATTATTTTAAGTTCTAGTCCTTGCCATTTTGTTTAAGTCCTACGCGTTTTCAATCAACATTTTGGCAACCCCCCAACGTCTTTCCCATTTAGGGGAATTTTATGGGGGCTAAGTGATGCAAGCAAAAATTGGAAAAAAACCCAAATTTTTGCAAGCAAAACACATGCTTCCTAGGATAAAGAAAATACACCAAAGAACACGAAATAGACAAAATAAGAAACAATACAACTTTTTATAATAAAAGACTCTTACAAACTTTGACACAAAATCAAAACACCTAAAGGAGCTCTTCTTTGCTTGATTGAGAAGAAGGATGCAGGTGGAGTCGATCTTGTGGAGAGAAGAATGAGATTAGAAGCCGAGACGAAGGAGGAGAAGCTCGCAAGCTTTACTAGAGGGAGAGGAAGGGATGGAACAAGCTTGCAAAATTTTCCAACAAATAAACCCGCAGGTTTAGGCTCCAAAAATCACATTATAACTCTTGACACTTACAAACAAAAGACGCTTACAAGACACTTACAAAAGGACTTACAAACTTTCAAAACATAAACTCCTAAAACTGCATTTCATCCGTTGAGAAGAAGGATACAAGTAGGGTGGTCACTTGCGGATAGAAGAAAGAGGTTAGAAGACCAGACGAAGTATAGCTCGCAAGCTATAGAGAGGAGAGGAATGTGAAGGACATAGCTCGCAAGCTATTCCAAAGAAACCCGCAAGTTTTATCCAAAAATCATCATCACAATCAACCTTTAATGAGCTCGAACCAACTAGAACCCAACTTTTTTAGCTCAAAACATAGCAGTCAAAGCCAACCCGAGAGCATCCAAGGCTCCAAACAAAGAAACAGCAAGCAACCCAAGGACAAGAAGGAACCCAAGTTGATTAGACCCCCCCCCCTTGCCTACATCAATTCTCCCCCACTTAAAAAAGCTCATCTCCTAATGAGGAAGCTTTCGATTTTTCCCGAGGAGACGAAGTAGGCGCTTCAAGCTCTTGAATTTTGTCTGTGTACCTTTTCAAAACCTCGTCTCGCTCTCGCTTGAATTGTTCTTGTAAAAGTTGTTTCGTTTTCATGTACCGCTCCGTACACAAATTCATCTTCACTAGGAGCTTGTATAGTTCATTCTGTAAGGGATCTGTTGAATTTCCTTCCGCCGGAACCCATCTGTCCATCGGAAGAGGGACTTCAAAATCTTCTGGATTGCATTCTTCCACAACGAACTTAATTTTTTTGTGATTTTTCATTTTCTAAACACATAAAAAAGATACGAAATAAGACCTAGGAAGACACAAACATAGGCTCTGATACCAAATTGATGCAAGTAAAAATTTGAGAAAAACCCCAAATTTTTTGCAAGCAAAACACATGCTTCCTAGGATAAAGAAAATACACCAAAGAACACAAAATAGACAAAATAAAAAACAATAAAACTTTTTTAATAAAAGACTCTTACAAACTTTGACACAAAATCAAAACACCTAAATGAGCTCTTCTTTGCTTGATTGAGAAGAAGGATACAAGTGGAGTCGATCTTGCGGAGAGAAGAATGAGATTAGAAGCTGAGACGAAGGAGGAGAAGCTCGCAAGCTTTCCTAGAGGGAGAGGAAGAGATGGAACAAGCTCGCAAGCTTTTCCAACAAATAAACCCGCGGGTTTAAGCTCCAAAAATCACATTATAACTCTTGACACTTACAAACAAAAGACGCTTACAAGACACTTACAAAAGGACTTACAAACTTTCAAAACATAAACTACTAAAACTACATTTCATCCGTTGAGAAGAAGGATACAGGTGGAGTGATCACTTGCGGATAGAAGAAAGATGTTAGAAGACTAGACGAAGGATAGCTCGCAAGCAATAAAGAGGAGAGGAAGGTGAATGACATAGCTCGCAAGCTATTCCAAAGAAACCCGCAGGTTTCATCCAAAAATCATCATCACAACCAATCTTTAATGAGCTCGAACCAACTAGAACCCAACTTTTTTAGCTCAAAACATAGCAGCCAAAGCCAACCCGAGAGCAGCCAAGGCTCCAAACAGAGAAACAGCAAGCAGCCCAAGGATAAGAAGGAACCCAAGTTGATTAGACCCCCCCTTGCCTACATCACTAAGCCTTCCTACCACGCTATAAAAAGTGTGTATGGTAGGCGTCGGGTGACACCGCGGCCGTGGTTTTCAATCTCGCCACGCTATGAAAAGAGTGTATGGGTCTTCGAGGTACCTGTGTGAAAAACTTACATTTTTTCTCCATAGGCATAAAAGCAAATACACAAGTACTTAGGAGTGTCCCTGCCACTCTATAAAAAGCGTGTACGAGACTCACCCACCACGCCGCAAGCATCACACTGAGTTAACTCTCACCATGCTAAGAAAATCGTGTATAAATAGTTCGCCCGTCGCGCCACAAGTGTTGAAAATGGGGTTTTGAGATTTTTTGAGTTTAGGAACCATTTATACCTTAGTGACGAACAACGATGGCCGTGTTGGGGGGACGACGATGACAAAAATGCGCACACTTCTTTCCTTTTCTTTTGTTCTCTCTCTTTTTTTTAATTTTCTCTCTTTTTCTTCTTCATTTTTCTTTCTTTTTAACTTAATAATAATAATATACATAATAATAATAATAAGCACTGTTAATATTAATATAAATCCGTGTGTGTGTGTGTGAGAGAGAGAGAGAGAGAGAAAATGGCTAAGGAGTGAGTTGTTGTTGGGTTTGGTAGTGGGTTATTGTAGAGTTTGGTGTAGAGTGAATAGTTAAGTAAATGGAGAGGAGGATGAGAGTGGCAGGATGAGTTCAACTCAACTGCTGGATGGAGATAGAGGTGCTTTGGTTCAGTCTAGTGGCTGAGGGAGGCTCGGGTGAAGTTGTGGGTAGAGGGATATCAGACGGCTGAGTCGGAGTGGGAATTTGATTAGTGGAGATTGGATTGCCGGAGGCAAGCAGAGCAGGTTGTGGATCCGGTCAGGTGGCCTGTGTGCAAACAAAAAAGCGAAAGATTGTTAAGTTGGCACATGAGGTGGAAACAAAAGCTGGGTGTGGAATTGGGAGCAGGGGATTCGGCATGAGGTCGCGTTCGACGACAGAGGTCATGGGACGATGGTTTGGGAGGCCTCGGATCGGTTGTTGGATAGGGAGCGGCGGCCAATTGAGTGCGGTCTGATCGTGAGTAGGAAGAGGCGGAAGGGTGCGGGATCGAGAAGAGCAGGTCGTTGAGATTTCGTGCATCGAGATGGGATCACGCGGCTACTACGTGCGAATGAGGGTGACGGGAGAGCTGGGAGGTTCAGTTGTGGGTTGGGCCAACTGTTGCAGTTGATTTGGTCGTGAGGAGGAATCAGGAAGTTCTGAAGCTTGAGCAAGAAAGAAGAAATGGAGGGTTCCGCTCATTCTCATTTTAATAACGAGAACGAGAGCACAATCGAGACACAGGGTTTGTGCAGGAATCACGAGAGGAGATGCGAGCAGCACCGAACAGCAAGTAAGCAAGATTTGAGTAGATTTTCTAGCTCTCATGTGGAGGTCAACACCGATCTTGAAATAGCAAACACATACTTTAAGGAATGAGATACTTAATTACTAGCATAATTGGAGATACCAAATCATAAATATTTTTTTTTTACTTAGAAGGAATGAAAATTTTTTAGCAAAGATTATAAGGTGATTCAAAGAGAGAATTTAACCACAAAATATAGAGTAATAGCTATCGAGTATGGATGCATATCTTTAGAGTAGAAAATAAAATAATAGAACTTGCCCAAACATAAGCTGGTGAAATTTAAGAGGTAAGAAATTATTTTGCTTAGGAAGATAAATTGAAATTTTTTAGTTAAGTCAAACCCCATGTGGGATAAAATAGTTAAGTTGAGAAGAGCATGATAGAAATTTTACATAATTCAAGAAATAAATCATACACTAATAAGAAGACTTACAGGTAGATTGAAAAAAAAAAGTTTATTAAGCAAAATAAAGGTGTGGAAAAGCTGTTGGAGAGGTAAAGTGAAAAAGTTGTTGGACCTGATGATATTCCAATAGAGGCATAGAAATGCTTAGGAGATGAAGGATTTTCTTAGGTTACTTGACTTTTTAATATTATTTTAAAGACAAAAAAGATGCTAGATTAGTGGAGAATGAGTGTGTCGATTCCTATTTTTAAGAATAAAGGTGATGCATTGTGCAAATTATAGAGGAATTAAATTAATGTGTAATACTTTAAAACTATGGGAGAGAGTTATGGAGCATAGGTTACGACGTAATAATAATGTTTCTCAAAATCAATTTGTATTCATGCCGGGAAGGTCTACTATGGAAACTGTACATTTATTGAGATGCTTAATGGAGAAGTATAGAGAGAATAAGGAGGATCTACATATGATATTTATTGATTTAGAGAAAGCATATGATAAAGTTCCAAAATAAGTGATATTGAAATCAATTTGGTTTCACCATAGGAGCACCTTAAATTGCATTGTCACTCATGCTACCATGTGAGCATGCCCATAATCATGCTTCGCTCATACACCTATTATCCTTCGCATTGCACTATGCAACATGTCGGTGCACCGCTTTTGTAACCCTCATCGCTATCGTGATCACCTATGATCCCCTTCTAAGATTTAGTGTTTGAGGGTTGATGAGAAACAACACTCAACTACGCATCTACCAAACAAAAATCATGAGTTTTTCAACAACTTATCACCTCAACTTTTTAACAAAATTTCACCTAATTTTCTAGACAATAACAACACTAAACAAAGAATTAATTATGAAATATAAAGAATTAGTTGCAATTACAAAAGATATCATATGATTGAGAGCTCATGATAGTAGCCAGCTTGGCAGCTTTTGTTGCCCAACTCACTTGAACAAGAAATTTAGATTTCATTATAATCTGCATTATATTATTTCCCTGGAAGTATTTATGGGCTTCTCTTCATTCAATTTAACGTATCCTCCCAATGGGGATTAAAACTAGTAATAGTATGTGACCGCACCAAAAAAATACTATACTCTCAATTACTATGAAGAAAGTGAAATGGAAGGATCATTTAAAAATGGAAACATATATGAGCACATATCTAAACGTTTAATGACCGTATGAAACTTATGGTATATGCAGCTACATGTTTGCATGTATCCTTAACTAAAAGCATAGAAGAAGCAAATCTTAATCGTCCATTAAACACCGCCGCAAGGAAAGAAAGAGAATAGCCTTCAAGCTAAAGAGATCAAGGCTTCTTCATTGGAAAGAAAAGATAAATAATAAAGGAAATCGGCACAATTTGAGGATTGATAACCATTAAGAACAACCTTCACCTACCTGTGCAAGCTTTTCTCTATGAATAAGATAGTATACTGCAGAACATAGCAATCATTATGAGACCAATTACCCAATGGGAATCTCTATAATCCTAGGCCGACCTTGGATAAACTTCAATTCATACTTCCACACAACCGTATCTCTAAAATAACATGAAAAGAAGGGGAAAATGATACTGAGGAATATCCTCCAAATTCTGAAGCGGATTGCTAGTTTTCCATAACTTATCATTACTCTCTTGCTAACCGTCTTAAAGCGAAAGCAATTCGCATTCAGGATTCATCTCGAAATGCTAGGACTAAAGCGTCCAAAAACTTCCACATAGCGCAAAATGAAACCATGGATAACAAGAAGCAAAGAATAGGGAAGAATCATAAGAATTCGCACTTCACGAGCAGAAATTGAGGTCTCGAATCTTACGGTTTAGGATCTCTCCAGACGGTCCTTCCGATGCGCTAACAGCCACCGATCCATCCCCAGTTTAGTTGTGGAGGTCCAAGGAATAGGCTGGTTGTCGAAGTAAGATGCTGCAGTAGATCAAACTAAATAGATGCAAGAAAAACTGGGGGACAAAAGAAAAAGAAGAAGAAGAAGTGCAGGAGAAAGCAATGGTCGGAGATTTTAGTCGCTTGACCACTGTAGGTCAGGTCGTCTTAAGTAATACGGTAAGAGGAGCAGCCCCGCTTACCGGCCAGCGCATTAATCGGAATTAGAACTTCCATGCGGCAGACGAGCTGCGCCGTTGAAATACGCGGAATGCGGGTCTAGACCGCTGCCGGCGGCGCGAATCCGAATCCGGGGTACGTGGAAACCCAGAAAGAGGCTTTTTGCACTGTAGCTTACGAACTGAGAATTTTACACGAAAATTTTAGAAATTATGATTTTATATGTCCATAATTATATTAATTGAAAAAGCATATTTTTTGTTTTAAAAACTAATATGAAAATTTTTATTTCGAGCTAAAATGCTTCCATTTTTTATTAGAATACATTTTTCAAGTCCATTGCTATAAGCATTGATTTGAAAATAATTCTAATTTGAGTCTAATAAGTTACAATCAAGATTATGGTCATATGAAAGAAAAGTTCAAATTTTGTTCAAATTATATATAAATATGTTTTTTTTAATCCTTTGCTTTAATTCGAGGATAGATTCGATATGATTCTAATAAAGTTTGAACAAAACTCAAAATGAGATTTAAATAAAGTTCATACGGGTCGGAATAAGTTTCTATAAGGTTATAGTGTTATGCAAGTTTTGGATAAGGTTAAAACAATATTCAACTAAGTAATATATAAAAATGAGTAGAGAAGGAAATCGCGTATTAAAGAGAATGCAGTGAATTTAATCCTCTAATTTGAATGTAGAAAATCAAAATCTGCATTCTATAGAATGCGGAAAACTAATTTTTTAGTTTTCCATTTTTTTTTTAATTTAATCCTCTAATATAATGTGGAAAACACATTTATATTACAAATTTACAATCCCTTTGACCACTTCACTTGCTGACAACATTCTTTCGACCTCCCGTTGCCCGTCAACTACGGTTCCTCCAACTACCATCGCACAACTTACAGTTATGCTAACCAAACAAACATGGCAACACTCTTTTAAGAACATCTATCATGCAATGAGTTATATACAATGTGTATTTGTTACATTGAGCCATCACTCTCTTCTGATGAGAGATATTATTTGTAATCAACCATCAACACTAGTGGAATTATTTTAACTTGGTTAAACCTCATGATTTCTTTTTCCTTTTCAGGATTTTTCGTGTAAAAATATTAGTGTCTTTTATGACTCTCCCACATTTTTCTCTTTATATGTATGTGTGTTAGATCTTCATTCAAAACTAAGATATTAATCTCTTTATCCCTCTACCACCATGAATGTTCCGATCAGCAACAATTTGAAATTCTATTTGCAAATGAAGTTCAAAATCAATTTGAATGAGATTCAAACATAAATCTAACCTATTTGAATGCTATTTGCAACTTCAAACTTTTTTTGAATATTCTTCAAAACCTATTTTTGCAACTAATATTTGAAACCTTATTTCAAAATGTGTATTTAAATATCATTCCAATATAATTCAAATATTAAATATTATGTCCAAACATATTCAATTTTAAACCAAAAAAAACTCTTATTTCTTCTCCTTTGTGTTCTAACCTATTATTGTATCCGTTAGAAGGGACAATAATTGTATTCAAACATAATAAAGAAAACGTATGAACACTAACCTTTTATTCGATTGAAGGGGTTCGCATTGAAGCATTTCAACGAGGATCACTTAAGATCGAAAAAAGATATTGCTCGTAAAATGGCGATCACAATTGAAAGAGAGATGTTTGAGTAGCTATATCGATGAACCATATTATTTAGATATTATCTAAGCACTATTTATATATTTAATTCTTTTGCTTTATGGAATTATCCAATTTTGTTTTTATTTACATACCATAGAGGTTTTATTTATTAACATGAAATATAAGCATAAAAACCTATATTTCACTAGAAAAATTAATATTAGCAATATTTTTTTATTAGATTAAAATTTTTAGAAATTATATAAATAAATATAAATGCATAAAAATTATATGATATATATGTAGAGCCCTCAATGATAAATTTAAAAATGATTGAAAATTCTAGAATTGAAACTATATCATATTAATATTTCATCGCCCATCTTCAAAAACAAATGGAGGGCAATAATACATTGATTAATTATTGGGAGCGATCAATAGATTTTAATATCAAATCAAGCTCAAATCAAAGAGATCAATATATAAATAGCATCTTCAAACATTTTTATGCCAATGTTGGTCATAAACTCCAACCAAAAATTGAAGAATGGGATCAACCATGAGACATTGAATGCAATGCATTACAAAATATATGATCTTCCACCTCTTATAAACAAAAGAACTTCAAATAAAAGACTAAGGCTTCGTTTGGGACGGCTTTCTTACTACTTCTTAAAACAACTTTTTAGTACAAAATTTTCATTTTTGTATTAAAAAATCATTTTAAGAAGCAGAAAAAAATCTCCCCAAACAAAGCCTTAACATTAATAAATTTCTCAAAAACAACTATCCTGAATAAACATAATTGAGTCATACACAAGTAAAATCAGATCAATTTGATCTATGGATAGCAACATTGCCACAAACTAGTTGATTCACACATGCATGTGGAGGTGAAGTAACCAAATCTCATTCCCTTAAAGACTTCTAAGAAACCAATGGTATAGCATCAATATAGTTTTCATCAGTGTCTTCTCAATAACAGTTACTATTTAGGAATAGACTGGTTGTTACCTAGCATTAAATGAACAAATTAATCCCTTAACTTTTTATGAAGGATCAAAAAAATCTGACTATATAGAAGTATCAATCAATTTGATCTATTGACTCATTAAATAAAAATTAAATTAATCTTTCATGGTATCATTTCCGTCTTATTTAAAAAAATGGATTGAAATGAGGCTTCTTTCTTCAATGTGAATATAATCAGAGTAAAGCTCCAGAATTTCGTGTAGGGTAAGACTCAATTATTCTCTATTCCAAGCTGCCTGAGAGAAGCAGGACCAATAAGAAATATGCGCCTTGAAGAGTGATACCTAAAGACAACAACACCTTTGTATGCCGTCCTTGGGATGCCATCCTGGAAAAGAGGGACAAGATACATCAACAGAAAGCGTATAAATATGAAAAAGGCAGCGCGCAGAGGTAGTGGAGTTGCAAAAGCTGCTATGCCATTCTAAAATTGATCCTGATCGTTGCTTCTGTCTAAGGCCTCATTTATTTCGGCATTTTTTTTCTTTTCTGTTTAAAAACGGAGAAATTATTTTTTGGTCGTTGTTTGGATGGGACGCTTCTATAGAAATGCTTTTTAGGAAACTTCATTGTTCTACTGTTTTGAGAAGCTTTTTGATATTTACTTCTCCGTTAGAAAACTCCATTTCCTTAACCATTATTTCTAAAACTATCTTTACAAAAGGAGAGGAAGAACCAAACAAAGCCTAACTACTCTATCATTACTTCTCTCTTAGTATATTATATATATTGTGACTTTACTGAAGCAAGATAGATGGAAAAATGGACTCTGTTTCTCAACCTTCTTTCTCTTAGAATCATTCTGCTTTCTCTAAAGTTTCTGCAGGCCTTCATGGTATCAGAGCCGCTGTAATTCATTTGCCTCTTATCAATGAATACCTCTGAAAATTCAAGAGACAGATGTCTACTCTAGGTTGCCTCAGGACAATAGATCTATCCCTATCTCAGCTGAAATTTCTGATGGCCAATGTTAAAAACGTCATCTCTACCTCGATGACAGCTGAAAATTTTCCTACATGGCAATCTCAGGTTTCAAAACTATTTCGTGCTATAATGGATTTGAAGGTATTTTGGATGGTTCTTGTATCTTCCCAGCTAAATTTCTGACCAATGCCAAAGGTTTAACCTCTCCTAACCCACATTATCATTGTTGGCTTCTATTGGACCAGAATCTCGTTGCTACCTTATATTCAGTCATTTATTTGGCTTTGTTACCCTATGTTCTATCATCGGATCATTGTACCGACATTTGGACTGCCATTACACAACAGCTTCAATCTTCTACACATTCTTGGATTATTCAACTTAAAATAAAAATGAACTACAGAATATTTCTATGAAAGATCAAACCACGACACAGTATCTCTTAATAGTTAAAGCTAAAGTGGATGCTATTGCAACAGCGGGCTCTAATCTCAATCCTGAAGATATAATTATATACATATTAAATGATCTTCCAGCTCAATATCAATTATCAAGCATTCAAAATTGCAATTCGCACAAACCTTCAGCCCTTGAGTTTGGATGATCCATACACATTTTTGTGTAGCGATGAACAAAACCTTGCACTCGAAGCTACTCATGAGCCACATTCCTTTTGTTAAATCATAATACAACTTTTTGGGATACTATGCACTTAGATGTCTTGAGGCCTTCGCCAAGTCTTTCGTTGTAAGGTTTTCATTAGTATATATCTTTTATTGATAATCATTCTAAATTTTGTTGGGTGTATTCCTTCGCACAAGAAATTTGATGCCTTCAAAAATTCATTGAGTTTAAACAAATGGTTGAATGTCAATTTCATGCTAAATAGCTATGTTGGAGGCGAATATAAACACTAAATTTCAAATTATGTTAAAACATTGGGGAATTATTCATCAATTTACTTGTCCCCCTCAATCGCAAAATGGGGTTGCAGAATGAAAACATCATCATATTATTGATACTCCCCGCACTCTTCTTATTGAGGCTAATCTTCCGCCATTTATGTGGGTTGACACCTTACATGTTGTTGTCTATCTCATTAATCTGTTACCTTCACCTATTACTCAAAATGCCTCACTATATCAACTCCTATCTGGAAAACTCCCGAACTACACTGATCTCAAAATTTTTGGATGCTCTGTTATTCATGTCTGCTTCCATACAATCCCAATAACTTTCCCCATTCTTTCAGCCTTGTTTATTCATTGGTTATGCACCTGCTCGCAAAGGTATCGCTATCTAGATCCTACTACAAATAAAATATACACCTCCTGCCATGTTATCTTTAATGAAGCTACCTATCCGTTCTAGCAACCACACTTCCTCTCATCTTTAGTGCAGCAACCTTCTCCACTTCCACCGTTGGTGTTGGTCCCTACCTCAAGTTTAACTCCCAAATATCCCCACTTGTCCACTCCAACTTTGCCTCCTCTAGATATCCCTCCACCAACTCAACGTGCCACCATTACTACTTCATTCCAACCCCCCACTCGCATCTCCACTTTACCTTCGCCTAGTAAATCATCACTATCTCCACCTGTTCCATCTCATCCAATGCAAACAAGGCTGAAACCAGGTAAATTGAAACCAAAACAGATTTTTAATCTCTCCCATCTTGTTCAGCCAGCTGATCCTACAACTTACATTCAAACAAGAACACTAGCGCACTGCTATGACCCAAGAATTTCAGGCTTTGTAGTCTCAAGAAACATTGGATATTGTTCCTTATGACTCTAAACTCAAAATCCTTGGCTACAAGTGGATGCATAAAACAAAGTAAAATTTTGATGGCTTAGCAGCTCGCTACAAAGTTCATTTGGTGGCTCAAGGATACAAACAGGAACATGGATTTGATTACATAGAAACATTTAGCTCGACGGAGAAAATGCCGACAGTGCGAATGCTTATTGTTATTGCTCTACATCGTCAATGGCCCATTCTTCAACTTGATGTTTCTAAAGCCATTTTTCATGGCCATTTGATCAAGACAATCTATATGAAGCATCCTCAAGGTTTTCACAACGCACTATATCATACTCATGTGTGTGGATTAAAGAAAGCTATTTATGGCCTCAAACAGGCGCCACGACAATGGTATGCTACACTTTCTACTCATTTGTAAAACTATGGCTTTCAGTTTAGTGATGTTGATCCCTCACTATTGTCACGACCTGGCCCGAATACTCGAATTAATGAGTGAACGAAAAGTCGGACGGGTGTAACATTTCATTCAATTTCATAAACAATTTATATCCAACTTCTCAAATAAATTATAAAACTGAAGAGCCACTACCACATAATTACCTTAAAACTACTAATATCATTTTAATTTTCAATCAAAATATTTACATCAATCATATATTACCTATTTTCATTTTTGTGTCGTCCTCTATAGACTTACCTGAAAAAGTTAGTTTAATGGGTTGAGTTTATATGATAAACTAAATGGATAATTACCATTGCTAAAATAAACTTCAAACATATATAAGATGCAATGCATGTTCTTTTTCTCATTTCTTAGACAATATTATAACTTATATAACACTTGATATATGTATATTCTATAACATTTAGTATACGTATTTAGCATACATATACATATTTTTCTATTTCATTTATTTATTTCTTTATAGATTTCATATTATATACATTTCATAACATTTGATGTTTATTCCTTTTTCATTTCAATTAGTACAGGAACACCGTCAAAATGTACCAATAAAGGTACAACCATTTCCATTTTTATTTAATGTACATGAGTATGTTGCTTCCCCATCCAATATCATACGGGGGTGAACTCTAGTAATTTGCATGAATATCCTTTTTACCCTTTTCATTTATTCATTTATGCTTTTATTTATAATTTATAAGTTATATCATTTCTTTCCTCATTCTTTACTTGTACTATTATATATATACTTTCCAAATTTACTTTTTATTTCTTTTACATGTGTTTTAAATTAATATATATCTCTTTCACATTTTTGTATACCTTCATACTCCCATGATAATCAGTATATTTTTCTTTAATCAAAACAATTTATATATCACATTTCCACCATTATATATGCATTTGAATTTACATCGCTTTACTCATTATAATATAAAAAAATAAGTAAAACAATTTTATAAAATAGTACTTTCAGAATTGATGTAGAAATACAATAATGAAATTGTTATACACAACTGTAATTACCCACTTTGATATTTCGTGCTTCAGTTCCTTTCAAATCCTCGACCCATCAAATATACTTCCAATATTCGTCTCAATTCAAATATATTTAATTCTCCTTCTCACTAAATTTTTCCTTTCTTCTTCATAATAAAGCTTTCCTTTCTTCTCTATCTATTGAATCAATGTTTACAATAATTGAGCTCTTCCTACAGCAATAATATTTCCTCTAATTAAAGAAATGAAAATGTAATAACATATACAAATAAGTCAATCACTCACACCTTCCTCTGTCGACAAGGATAGAAGAAATTTTGAATTCCAAACTTGTTTTCTTTCTCTTCCTCTTTACTACAACTTTCCGAATTTCGAATGAATTTCCTACACAAGGATTTATATAAATCAACGATGAATCTCTAAAATTCGAGAATTAATTAACTCTTACTTTAAAGAAAATTAAATCAGAATACCTTAGTGACGTTCTTCCAATTTCCTCCCCTTTCCTCTCTCAAATTTCTTCTTCTTTCTCTTTAAAGGTTCTTCCAGTGCACTCAAATTAAACATTTATTCCTTCTTAAGTTTACATCACGGAGAAATTTTACCAAAATATACATAAAACAGACCACTACTTACCTACTTACCCTTCCTCTCCTTCTTCCTCTTCTCTATATGGTTTTCTCTCGTACAGAACTTCTAACTCGCATTTTCTTTCACTGAATTGCATGGAAAGAAGTTATTTCTCATAAGGAGTCGCTATCTTTCACTACCAACAAGAACCTTAATCAACAAGAAACCATCATCACTACCGGTGTCAGATACTATATCGTGGATACTACGACTAGCGAACTTTCTAATCTTCCTTGCAATAACACATTAGGCTTTTCGTTTTCAAAAAATAAAACCACATTGGCACTACTTCAATCAGCCCTGAATAATCAAGTAAAATGAAAAACTCCAATTTAGCAGAAGTTGTTTGACTGATACAAATCAATCAAGAATTGCAATTTGCCAAAATTTAAAAGTAACTCCAGCCAATGATCATTTTGCTTCCATTGGCTCATCCCTTCAACAAATCCATGCTTTCATGGATTCCATAAACAAGAAACTTGCTAGTTTAATTATTGACCGTCCACATACTACACTCCATCAATATACTTCCTCTTACACCTATTGAATCTCTTCTCAACAACCGTCACCTTCTCTGGCACGTTTTTCTTTTCTTACACATCATCTACCATTATTCAATCCTACCTTCCTCAAACAATCTCAATACATGTTTCAACTGCCACAAGTTTTACCTTAACCTAGTGCCATTAACCATCGTATTCATTTTCCACCAATATCTCAACATGTTAACATCCATCCTTTTCAAAAATAGGATGGTACTTGGTATTCCTGCATGAATTATATAGCCCTTAAAATCCTCATCATTCTAGCTAAATTTTCTATGCCAACGGTATAAGAATTTTTAGATGAATTACATAGAGCTTTTTTTCAAACTTCATTTTCCTCTATCTCTCACCAAGTTAAGATTCATCCTAAAAAAATCTCCATCAAACTTATTACTAATAGTCACCTTGAATTTCTTTCCCTCTCTTTGACTTTTCCTTCTCGCAACGTTGAGGACAAGATCGTTTTCAAATGTGGTGGAAGTGTTAGATATCAGCATCTGGGCTAGATCCATATATCAAATGTGAAGAATGGGCTACAAACATTAGAGTCTACCAAAGAACAAGAAGAACTCCAAAATTGTCAAGATAGGTAACATAGAGAAAAAGATCTACAAATATGAAATTAGCTTTACTTTATTTAGGCTCTTTTAATAAGGTAGACTGAGTCTATCTATTTTATTTTTAAGCCACGTACTAGGTAGACCATGTCTATCTTATAAACTTGGTCTACCCAAGTAGTATAAAAAGGCCCTATTGTAATCAATTGGCATAGAATGAATAATTTCTTATTTTCTATCTCTCTAATCTCTCTTCATTCCCCTCTTCTTTACTTGGAAGTTAACACCTACTCAAAAGATGCCTTCCCCTTCTTGATATGGATCAAGAAGCATATCAATCTACCAATATTCTTACAGTTTAATGAATACATGAAAATTTTGTTCGAATTTCCCTCTCATAGAGCAATAAATAAGGCAAGATGATGAACTAATAATCATAAACTAAACGAAGAATTCAAACCTTCTTTGCACTAAATAAAGACTTAGATAATTCACATCTTCATGCCTACAAAGGGACTCTCAAGAAGCTTAGGAAAAAAAAATTGTAGATGGAATCTTCTATAAGCGTTTTGGAAAGGTAACAAAATTTCACTTGTTTAGACCTTCTTCATTAAACACTCCCCAGAAATTCCACATATTCTAAATATTGGTTGGTTTTTAGTTGCTGAATATTCGGATAGCTGATTCAAAGGCTCTTACTAGGAGTTCGGAATTGGAGTAAAGGTAATGGAAGTTGCAGATTCAAAATAAAACTGCATAAACGTTGTAGGATTCACCCATTACCAAGAACATAGGAGGGTTGTCGTCATTTGAACATGTGAGCACCAAATAACCAAAAAATTTAATCATGATAAAACCCACGAATTTCCTAAATTTCCTTTCATTGTCCGCACTTTCCACTGCTCCAAACACAAAATAAATTAAGGCTAGATTGGACGAATGATTAATTTGCCTTTGTGATGTGGAAGTCAAGGGCTCAAGTCACAAAAGTAACCTATCTGAATTGCAGGGATAAGTCAATGCACATCAACAGTTTCTCAAATCCTGCATTAGCAGGAATCCTCATATACTGGCACGCCCCTTTTTATGATAAAATTTAAGCAATCCAGCAAATGAATGTTTCAGATACAATGATGGATAAGTAGATGACCAGATCAAGGCTGAATGATTGAGACATCAAACAAACAAAGGGTATAACAAGTGATTGTGGCACCAGAAGACATCGAAGAGACTAGAGAGTTGTCATCCACTTAAAAAATTGGGGAGTCGTTTTACTTAAAATAAAGGAAAGATGTGACCTTTCTACTGCCAAATTTAAAGTATGCTCATGAACAGAAAAGCACTTGCCTTCCATTCTTCAAATATTCTAAATTGGCGTGCAATTCGTTCGAAATCACTTTGATCACTGTATCTGATCCTAACATCACCATCTATGTTATAAGCCTGTCCTACCACATCTGCTCCATATAGGGGTTTCGCATCTGCAACCATTTTTGCAAAGTGTTTCAAGAAATTTCCCTGCCAACCATCATAGTAGTGCAAATTCAGCTATCACATCATAGACCGCAACAACACAATAGCAGAAATAGCAATACCTCCGTTAAGTAACCCAGATCCATTTCCTTCCAGTTAACCTATTTCCAATAATCACAGTAAAAGGGCTCAATATAAGATCTTTTGATAAAAAAGAAAGTTGAAGCAAGGGAACAAAAAAGATGAACTTCCTGAACATACATGGGCATCATTTAATTTGATAGGCTCCAAATATTGCTTAAAGAACTGACCCATGCTAGAACCCTGAAAAGAAGTCACATATAAAGGTCAACTTTTTTAAGCAAATATATGAATTAAGACGATACATACATGTTCACCAAAATTGTATGTTCTACAGATCTCTGGGCGAATAAATTGGCGATTTTTATGTACTTCCTTTAGTCTCAGCCAGTCATCCCAATAAGTGTGCTATGTCAAGGAAAATGTCCCAAAGTTGCAAATTCTTCATAGCTCACAAACATAAGAAGTTATAACTAAGCAGTTGAGGATATGCTTTAGGCCACTTAGGTGACAATTCAACCCAGGTGGATTTTGTTAGCATCCATCCTAGTCCAGGAAAGAAATCAGAACGGTAAAGGGCCTCTGCAGATAAATGACACCCAAAAGTTAATTAAAAATCATTAAGGAAAGTAGATATCCTCAAAGATGTCCAGTTCCTAAGAATGCTTCTGGTAAATCCAATCTTACCAGCATCATGCACAAACTGACGTTGACCATTATCATTCCACGAAGAAACAGCCATGACACTCCTTCAACAGTAAATTGGTGAGCAAATTATCTAGTCATTGTGATGTTACTGCAGCTATAGTCATTATTCCATTAGATATGTCAATTTGGAGCATACTTATCATTGTCAAGTAGAGCGGCCGTGGCCTCAAAATAATCAAAAAAATCTGGGGCAATCTCCATGTCATCTGTCAAGCAATAAAGAGTCAACTAGCAGTTAAGAGGCCGTGCATAAAGCAAACAAGATCAACAAGCCCCAAAAGCCAATGATACCTTCCAATACTATTACACGACTGAAATTCTTTTTGAGAAATAACTCATCCAAGGCCCACTTATAATGCCCTGAGAAGTAAAACCCTTAGTCTAAAAAAAAAAATCAAATGAAAGAAAACAAAATTATTGGTTAATAAGACTTAGTTCACTTATAGATGAGCAATAATACACATGCCTCTCATGTGTTTTCTGAAATTCTTACCTCATATTTTTTAAGATCTCAGGTAATGATTTGGGCTTAATATGTAATTAATAATAGTGGAGTCGAGTGTACTTTCAAAGAGAGCATTGAGGTTAACATGTAATGTAATATCTAACATGGAATGTAAGTATGATTTCAGAATACACAAGAGATTTATGCATAATATTAACTATCAACAGAGGAGGTAAATGTAACTAACACTAAAAAGATACATACTAGCAATCTTGTAGTATGCAATTATTTCACCAGGTCTCTCAGGGTTCACGGGTTGAAGATCCAAGTGCTGCAATCGAGCAATAATGAAAACTTTGTTGGCTAATAATATATTTTAATGGCTCATAAAATTTGTAAAAAATGAGTAGATAAATTGAATCAGTGAAAATCTTGATATAAATTACAGCCGCATAATTGCTCACATGGTGCCTTACTACGTTTCAACTATGAGTTCATCATTCGCACATTTTTCTTTTAAGAGATTTTTTTTCACCCCTTACTGATCAAAAGCATGAGATTGGGCCAACATCGGAATTTCTTTCAACAGAAAAAGTCATTAAAGCGTCTTATTTTTCATCAATTAGAGTATAATATACATAAGTTTTTGGGCTAGAGCTGGATCACTGATCTAAGCTATATGAGGATTTGGCAATATGCAACATAACCAGTCTAAAAAATGCTTACATTCTAACGCAAAAGCTATACAGGAGGAAAAAAAAGTACACTGTACAATTATATAGATCTTGGCTCCCTCCGTTGTTATCTTATCAGCAAAAACTATTATAACTTCAAAATCCAAGCTTAAAAAGACAAGAAGGGGCAATTCAAATGCTTTGGACCAAAATTCTACTTCTAAAATCATGATGAATGAGATCCTGGAGAATGTAAGTGACAAGGGGTTGGGAGGTTAAGAGGAAATAAAGCAACAAAACAAGAGAATAAACCTTTAACTGCTAACCGCATCAAGACATCATATAGGCTTCATTTGGGACGACTTTCTCATTGCTTCTTAAAGCAGCTTTCAAGTACAAAAAAGAAAAAAATTTGTACTTGAAAGCTGCTATAAGTAGCAGTGATAAAGCCGTCCTAAACGTAGCTATAATAGTAGGACATAATTAAACTTCTGCAATTTGTGAACTGTGTTTTATTTTCAAACTTAGGCCTTCTAAGTTAAATTGAGGATGCATTTGGCAACCTAAACTCTAACAAGTAGTAAAATTTCAAAGTGTTTAAGATAGCCTAAACAAACTCAATGTGTTTAAATGTGTTGACCTGATAGTTATATAAACAGGTAACAAGGTGAAATCAATACAGGCATTGTTCCAGTACGTGTTGTTCGCCCACTGCTCCACTGTTGTAAAGGTTTACAGATTTGATAAATAAACAGCATAATGGGATAACCTTTATCAATGCTGGTGTTTGACCATATCATATAAAGTTATGCTTACCCCATCTTATAATCATCATCAGCAGCAGCAGCCTTATCCCAATCATTAGAGACCAACAATGCAGAGTTCAAAAATTAAACCTAGATTTGGTTAAATTGCAATCAAATAAGGATGCGGAGTAAGATAAAAAGTAGATATCAAGGACAGTAGAGATCTAGCCAATATTAAAAATGTCATTTTTTTGTAAAGAGAGGCCAAATCACATTGCAATATACTACATAAAGTGAGCAAAACTATTGAAAATTTTATAGCTAGAGTTTGCTTATAGTATTGCCACAGTTAAATCAGATGCCTGAGGTAAAAAAAACATGGTGCTTTTGGTTTAGCAGCAACAATTAGATCTCAGACCTGCATATGTCCTATCTGATTGTAACTCAAAGCTTTGCTTTTAACATCTGGATTAGTTCCATCCTGGAAATAGGAGAATTTGACTTTCTAGAAATAAAATCCAAAAATTAATAATAAAGTAAGGCACGTGTACCTGAGATACAAAAATGGGAAATTTTGAAGGTACTGACCTCTGATATCTAGAAAAGATGAAGCAGCGTTAACATGCTAGTTAGCTATGTTTTCTCGACATAAAGAAAGGATACTTATTGTTTTAACATGGAAACAGTTGGATCTAAAAATATAATTAATGTAAAAAATGGACATACTTCAGGACAGATTCAATTGTCCTTTCAAGATAGTCTGGGCGGTTGCAAGCCATTATTACAACAGCTGCGAAGGGCTCCTAAAACAAAGTAGCGGAGCAAATTTGTCAGAAATGGACAAATAGTGATTGCTGATATAACATGCCAAAATAAATAAAAGACAACACGTACATTAGATAGAGTAATCGATTACATTCTCTACATAATTATCTTTTAGCCTTCTACATTACTTTCAAATACAAGACCCAGATTATTGATATTGGCCTGCAACTTATGAACAACATTGTGACCTAATTTGATCACTTTTCATAAAAATTTGACCATAGATTCATGAAGAAAAAGACAATTTGTAATGCCCTTCACTTAAAATATTACAACTACAATTTTTTTTAAGTCAAACCCATTGAAAGGTGTCCTTTTATGTCTCGACAATTTTTTAAAGTATTACTTCATGGAGACTTACGTGCTTTTGCTCGGCAGGAGTGCAGAGTGAATACATGGCCTGAACAATTTAATTTTTGTTTCATTTACTTTGTAGTCCTTATATTCTGAAACTTTCAATTGTAACTGCTTTTTTTCAGCATACCTATGAAGATTGTCTATGATAAGAAGATGAAGGCCCATCACCCTCAAAAGCCAAAGGGAATTGCAAAGTGGAGATCGAGACATTTCAAACTAGAAGTACAATAGCTGCAATTAAGGGTAAGGGTGTTGTGGAGGAGTGAGGGGAAGGGGGGCGGCAAGGAGGATGAGAAGAGGGAAAAGGCAAGGTGGAGGGCGGTGGTTTGAGAGTGGGGTCAACAAGTAGTGGTGATGACAATGGTGTCTAGAAGAGGAGCCATTGATGAAACATTGGTTTGCGACATTAATTGGCGTTTGCATGGAGAAAGAGAGACGGATAAAGAGTGTATTTGAAAGTGTCCTAACAAATATTAAAAATTATTTTAATGCATTTAATTTGCATATAACCAAATATGTAAAGGCCGGTTCGGCCGGTTCAATTGAACTGGCCAACCCTAATTAGAAATCCAGTGAGAAGCAGGTCTAGACAGACCGCAAGTGACCCGCGTGGGTGCGGGAACCCTTCTAGAGGGCTCGGATTGCACCGTTGAGTGGACTTCTGCGATCAAACGTGAAAGGTAGCCACTCCTTATGAGAAATAACCTTTTTTACGCACTCCTGTGGCAGAAAAACGCAAATTAGAAGTTCGATTGAGAGGATTCAGCGGAGAGGAAAAAGAAGGAGAAAGGAAGTAAGTTTGTTTATTTGTATTCATTTTTATTTAGTCATTTATCCTATGATTGAAACTTAAGGGAGAGTTGACAATAAATTTGAAGAGAAAGAGGAAGAATTTTGAGAGAGGAAAGGGAAGGAAATTGGAAGAACGTCAACAAGGCATTCAAATGTAATTACTTTTAGTTTAGGATTTATTTCTATTCAAATTTTAAAAAATTACCATCAATTAATGTGAATTCAAGTGTAGGTTAGTTTTCATAAATTGAAAAGTTAAAAACAGTATGAAAAAGAGAAAAAGAGAATTTAGAATTTGGAGTTTTTCTATGTTCTAGCAACGGAGAAAAGGGTAAGTAATCTAATTATTATTTACATTCAAATTTATTATTTTGAATTTCTTTAATTAATAAAAAAATAAGTGATCGTCTAATAGAGAGAAGAAAATTAGTGGTGAATCTCAACTGCAAAAAGGGATTTGAGGTAAGATTGTATTTAGGAAATGTTTATGTGAAAATAATGAAAATTAAAGATGCTAATAGTTATGCAATTGGATGTGTAATTTTAGGTTGTATTAAGAAACTATTTCAGGGACCAATTATTTGAAAGGAATTGAAATACATAAGCAATTAAAGTGGTTAATTATAGCTATTTATAAAAAATTCATTATATTATTTTATTTAAATTCTAAATGTAATACTTTATATATTTGTTTCACTTATAGTCAAATTCTATTACGTGCAAGATAATGCTAATTCAAATGTATATGTGATAATGAAAAATTGACAATAAGGATGTCTGTGATTATTATGATAGATAAATATATATGTATATGTGAAAGATTGTATAAATTTGAACCACCTGTAAAGATATATGTAATGAATTTAATGTGACTTAATTAATTAAGTTAAAATAAATAAATAATTAATATTGAATAATTAAGTTATCTTAATGTAAAAATTTGTTTTAAAATAAATTAAATTAATTCTAATAAAAAATTAAAATTTGAATTAAGATATTAAATATATTTTTTATTTTTTTAATATTAATTATAAATATTTAATAATTAGATTATGCTAATCATTATCACAAAAACATTTAAGTTAAAAAAATGATTAATTAATTCTGAATAATTAAGTTAGAAAATTACTTCAATTTTTTTTAGGGGAATTCGAACCTAGGTTCCTCATTGGAACTATAGTTTGCTTACTACTACACAACTAGAAATCTTATCATCATATTTTTTTTTTAAATTATTTCTTTAACAAATATTAGACAAAATACATTTTTTAAGGAAAATGTCAAACTATTTGGCATTTTCTAAGATAATGCAAGATAACTTAGCATTTTTGCTTGTTTTTTAATTTATTTATAACAAAGTTAATTTTGCTAATTAATCTTTGATTAAGCTCCTTTTTAAAATTTCCTCATATTATTGCTCATATAATAAATAGGTTGAGTTCTGTTCGAGTATATTATAGTCAGTTCAACTTCAACTCAAACTCGAACCTGACCCAAAAACCCAAATTGACACCTCCATCTAAGAAGAGGGTCTTTAAGTAATCCTCGACTAGGCTTTGACTATTAAATCTCATGTTCTCCTATATATTCATTGCTAAGGCTTCACTCCTTATATCATTGGCCTACTCAAGAATAACCAAGTGATCCTCCATTCCTCTCGCATCTCATTGCAACCAATTGAAGATCCGCTTGATGACTAACACTCTTGACAAACCTGGAGCTTCCTTCATAGCAAATTTTTATTGCAACTATTCTAATAGATACTCTTATGGGTTTCCCCTTCTATAGCTTCGTTATTCAAGAAACACATTGAGGGACTCAATATTCCTAAGATCTTTCCAACTATAGTTGGCAAACAAGCAATTTGGGACCATGTGATAGTTTCAAACTTTCAATCTATAAATGAAACGAATCGAGCTAAATATTACCATGTTCAAACTTATTCATTAATTTTCTCATTCAATTTTTTTTTTTTTTCATTCAATTTTAAGTTGTACTCAAGCTTTAATAAAACCTAACTAATTATATATTTAATGCTACTAATTTAAGCAAACAACTTAACTATTAGATATAAATGAATATATAAGAATTAATCAATTATGAACATAAATTGCTAAATTTATTTAAGTTGTTAGGTGATGTTAAAATACTTATAAAAAATTAATTCATATATCTAGCTATTTGTTTAATATTTTTACCATACTTAGATCTCTACTAAAATACATAATTTTTTAAATGCATAAAATGTAATAAAATTATTATAATAATACAAAAAATTCATCAAATAAATAACTAAGTCATCATTAATTTAGCATTTTATCAAGCTCTCAAATAACTACTTATTAAACAACAACAGTGGCAATAACATCAAGCCTTTAACCCACTACGTGGGGGCTGCTACATGATTTTTTGAGATTTTAATTTCCCTCATTAATTTGAATTAATTACACAATTCACTCCCATCTCTTAATTTTGAATTTTAAATTTCGAAAGGTCTTTCATCCCTTTCCTAATTCAAGATTCTAATTAAAGAATCATTCAATTACCCCATTATCATCTTCCTAAATTAGCTCCTATCTTATTTGGAAAGATTTCATAATTCAAATTCAAATGAATTTGAATTTTAAAATCTTTCCTAAATATCATACACCTATTTTAGGAAATTCCCCCCAATTAGTACAAATCTGAATTAAATGATTGGATTTGAATTTAATTCCCCTATTCAATGTATGTAGACACATACATCGAATCTGGACATATTTCCTCCCTCCTTGGCTGGCACTCTCTCTCCCCTCTATCATAATTATTTCCTCCCTAATTAAGGGCCCAATTAAGGAGATAATTAATTCCACTCTTCCCTCCCTTCTTTTCGTATTTAAATTTCAAATTCAAATCCATTAATTAAGGGAAATCTGAGATGGAATTTTAGCACTTTAATTTTTTATTACCCCCCACCCTATCCTTGCTACATCAGCTTGCCACCGGCTCCGCCATTGCTCATTGGGTACCACTATTATCGTTGGTGACCATTGACCATCACAATCATTGGGCATTATGGCATTCATTATATTCTAAGTCAAATAAAAAAATAATTATATGCATTTATTTTACACTTGTCCAAACAACTCCAAAACATTTCAAATACATTGTAATCTTTTTATATTGTATTCATTTTTCAACAAACAAAACAGCCCTAAGAAATTAATTGTTATAAAATTGAGATTTTATAAGATAATACAAATATTTAGGGTAAAACATACAAGTTATAGATAAAAAAAAAGTCTATTATTACTATAATTTTCAATATATATAATCTAACTTCATATCATACAACATCAGCCAACACTTCGAATATACGGTCTCTTTACCTACTATTTTCACAACCAACACATAATATTCACAATTTTCAGCCAATCATACAAATCTTGTACCTAAAGCTATGATGGTTGATGATATCATTTAAATTGCCAATAGAGGATATTACGAACATCTTTTGCATTGGCTAGATAGACTTTTATGTGATAATTCATGAGTATATTTGCAAGAAGACAATATTTACGCCCAAATTTATTGGACATGTGTGAACTAAAAAGTCAATGAAAGCTATTTTTTCAAGCTGAGCAAAATTAATACAAGGCTTCTTTGTCTAAAAGTGGGACACCCTCATCTCTTCATGTTATGAATGTTTTAGTTTAGTCAACGGTTGGATGCAACAAAGATGTTCATTCATTGAGTAGCTTTTTAGGTAAAAGTAGAACGAGCTCATCGAAGAAGATCCATCCCATAAGTTATCAAATACCTAATTAATCACTACAATAAACGACAAAGAGCTAAATATAAATTGATTCATTTCATATAAGAGGGAAAAAACCCAATCATTGCTAGAAAGGGACAAAGCTATGATGCCCTTTACTTATTAGCAGATAACCTTTACAAAGTCTTCCCTATTATAGCTTTTGTATGATTTCTCAATCAAAATGTTCACATGGTTAGTTCCAAAAGTTGGGTTGAAGTAATCCATAATTTTATAATCTGTCCAAAAGTAAAGCAAGAAAGCTTGGTGTCTTCTATCATAGACAAGATAGGTCTTATGCCAATGTAGTAAACACTTCCTCCTCAAAAGATATAACCGCACCTTATCCCATCAGTACCTTAGTACCTTTGAATTCCATCAATTTAGAAGCTCATGATATAATGGCATTGAAATAGTCCCTATAAGGTTTAGAATCCACTTAGGTTAAATTGAGTGCAAAGAGGAATTTAGCGCTTAAACTTATATTATTATAAGCCCAATTAAAAGCCCTAGACTCAATCTAAGTTGTGTTCTCTCACATTGGTTATGTAGGATGAATTCCTTCTTTCCTAATATGTATGTCAAATATTTGCTTCACAATCGAACTAGCTGAAATTATAAGCAGTAATGCAAGAATCCTCTGATAGGTAAGTTAGATAGTAGTGTCTAATACTTGAACCTACATATCAATGAATTTCAATACATTAACACGTGAAAGTTCAAATTAAATAGCAATCCTTTTACGCTCTCGTCAAAACTAAAAGGCAGCATGAGGAGCATTCATGAGCAAATAAATAGTGCTTGATTATCAATGTTTGTAGTAAACACTAGACTATAGCCCTAACAACTACAAAGTCGTTTTATATTATTTCATGAATGTTATACATAAAATCAAAAATAAATGCATACCTTGGTAGCCAAGCGATCTGCATATCTAGATTGTGTTGAAAAAAGTCGAATCTGCAAGCCAGATAAAAAAAAATGATTAATGTTGCCTCTCATAAAAAACAAAAGAAAATGAGTAGACTATGTATAGCATTTCTACCACATCCATGAAAGCTAAGGAATGCATGGATATATATGAATCTTGCATGCAAGTAAAATAATAGCACCAAGGCATAAATAGATGGACATAAATACAAAGTATGGTTGAAGTAAAGGGAAGAAAATAAAATGCAGACTAGTTAGCAAAAATGCTTAAGTAGGCAATGCATTAGCCAAATTCGTAATCATTATGAAAACCACACTAAAAGTAGCAGAACATCCTTTGCCAACTGGTTCTACTTGTAAATCAAATAGAACAATGTGAAAGAGTAAAGTACACATAGTACCCTCAAGTTAGGGTTAGTAGACTCTGTTATGCAAGAATATTTGTAGAAAATAGAGACGACACTTCATACAAAACACAACAAAAATTAATGGAGAATGAAGATTCATAAAGATAAACTAAAATTGTTAGGAAAAGGATAGGTACCATAATTTAGAAGCAGATAATGATCTTCATACAGCATACGTGTGAGTGTGGGTGAGGGGTTGGTGGTGAGGATGATACTTAAGAATGCATTTTGAATTATGTTAACACCCAGTTATTTATGAAAATAACCTAAATGTATTTTATTCAAAAAAGGGCCAAAAAATAAAAATTAAAAAGGTTACAAGAGCTCAAATTACAACCTTCGAATACATAAGGGAAAGACTTAGACAGTTCAAAAAAATCAGCATAAATTTCAAGGATTTGAAATAATATAGCACATATTCAATAAGATAGAAGGAACATGCAACAACAACATCATCAATCATTTATCCTACTGTGTGGGGTCGGCTACATGAATCATTTTTCTCCATTGTGTCATGTTAACAATTAAATTCTCATTTAATTCTAATAAAGAAATGTCATTTCTAATATCTTCTAATCAAGTCTTTTAAGGTCTACCTCTACCTTTCTTAAGGTAAGTCAAATCTAATACATCTACTTTCCAAACTCGGTCATCGAAAGGCCGGCGCTTTATATGACCAAACCATCTAAAGTGGCTCTCTCTAATCTTATCTTCCATTGGAGCTACTCCAACCTTTTCATATATATGCTCATTTCGTATCATGTCTCTAAGAGTAAAGCCACTCATCCACCTGAGCATCCTCATCTCTGCAATACTTAACTTAATATTATGCTTCTCTTTTAATGGCCAACATTCTGCACCACAAAACAGTGCAAGTCTAACCACCATCTTATAGAATTTTCCCTTAAGTTTGAGGCGGACTTTTCTATCATAGAAGCCCGATGCATTCCTCCACTTCAACCATCCAACTTGAATTCTATTAATAATATCCCCATCTATTTCTCCGTCACTCTGAACAATAGACCCAAGATATTTAAAACGTATACTCTTATTAATGACTTTATCACCCAAAGTCACAATCCCCCACAAGAACTATTATTACTAAAATTACACTCCATATATTCAGTTTTATATCAACTCAAACGAAAGCCTTTAGAACCTAAGGTTGACCTCCATAATTCAAGTTTACCATCAACTCCCCCTCTAGTTTTATCAACCAGAAGAACATCATCAGCAAAAAGTATACACCAGGGTACAACCTCTTGCAAATGTCTAGTGAGAACATTCATGACTAAAGCAAAAAGATATGGGCTTAAGACTGATCATTGATGTAATCCAACTAAAACAAGAAAATACTTGGTCAAATCACGTTGTGTCTGAACACAAGTAACAGCTCTTGCATACATATCCTTAATGACTTGAATATAATCTAGAACTCTCAATAGCACTTCTTTTGAAACTTTATCATATGCATTCTCTAAATCAATAAATATCATATGTAGATCTGCCTTATTCTCTCTATACTTCCTCACCAAACATCTCAATAGCTTCTATAGTTGACCTACCCAGCAGGAATTCAAATTGATTTTGAGATAGAAGAAACATGAAGCATACAAAATCATCAAAAATGCCTCTTTCGAGATAAATAATTTACAGTCTGATGGAATGTCATAAACTTAGATAATTCACTTAATGAAGTTTCTTGACCTTAGCTATATTTTCCCAATTGCCATTTCTAATAAATACCTTCATCCTCCCACCTCATGATGGGAGTATCAATGCAAAGGAAGATGAATGTTTCAATACCAAGAAAGGTTGGCAAACTTGAAAGACCTCTTGGGTTGGAGGATTTATTGGGGTAAAGCTAAGCTCATAATTAGCACGCTTGATAGATTGGGATTGCAACAATTAAACCCAAGTTATCTCAAGCCTACGTTAAGCACAAAACCTACCCCCAAGTTAAATTTTATCAAGTGTAGAAGAGATCCAATGTCAACATCAAGGGAGGGATTGTCTCATTAACAAACCAAATAGAAACCATATTGATACTTAAACTTAATACTAAGATAATAGACTTGAAAATAACCCACCCTTACACCGAAACTCTAAAATAACAATGTGATTAATCTAACCTGTTAAAGCTAACCTAAACCAACCCAAAAAACCTTAAAAGTTTTTGGTTTGGGGCCATTCCAAAGTCCACTTAACTTATGCTGCAAAATAACTTCGAATAGCTTTTGTGGAATTATGTTAGCCATCAATTGACTAAAGTATGATTCAAGTTTATTCCCATTAACTCAGCTTGAAGTTAGCCTGTTCCACCTCTTGATTTATTAATTCATGATAAGTATTGCATAATTAGCCTGTTCCACCTCCCATTTATTAATTCATGTTTGGCCTACCAAGCTACCATTTCGCTTTCAAATCTTTTAATGAAAAATTTATCCATCCATTTTATTTCTACTCTCAATTTATATGTCCATACTACCAAAGTTCATTTTTCACCGTACTATCTTCAATGGATGTTACTCTCATAGTTTTTCTAATATAATGATTCTTCGATCTATCTTTTCTAATTTTGTCACATATCCATCTTAAAATCGTCATTTATTCCACACTGAACTTAACTATCACTGACTTGTTTTTTTCTCGACACCTTGATCCATATCCAACAATTATCTATTACTGAAAATATAGGTTAATTATTACAATACCATATGTTACTACAAAACCAATTAACAATTCTCAATCATTTACTCTCTCTTAAGCCATAGCCAACATTAACCTTCTCATAGTCCACTCTATTAGAACTCGTATGTCTATTCAAGTCAACCCCAAAGAATTTTCCTCTCTTCCCGAAGCCGTCGTCTTTAGTAAACTTATCCCAACTATTGAGGATTAGCTTTATAAATACTTTTTTTTTCATTCGTTACTATTAAGTGCTGCAATGAGTGCTATACTATTTCTTCGTAAATATTTTTGAATAACTTCTATCTATTTTACCTTAAGCATGCCAATTTTCCTTCATAATTCTCAATAACTAATTTTATACACATATTTAATGCGTGCATTTTCTACCAAAAGTTGTATTTAACCAAATCCTCCAAGTCTACTTTAAACTGATGTGTCATAAAATGATGTTATTCCTAAGTCCAATCATTCCTCTAATATAGTCATTCTTTAATCTATATATACTAACCATTGCCTCGCAGGCTCGCATTCATCTTAATATTCTCATTTTTAGTTCGCTCAACTTAGCTCTCATAAATTTTTTTATTGCCCTAGACTCAAGCCCATACAATTTAGTGGGCCAAATTGTAGTGTACAAGAATGAGCTTTAAGTTTATATGATATTCTCTATTGTATAATACTCCTAAAGCACCTAAATTTTAACCACAATCATAACTCTAAAAAATTTATCCTCCTCTACATTTTCATTCATATATATATCTATTATAATTAAATCTATCACACATTTTTACCATTTATCTCCTAGTAATATGATTAATAACTACTAATATCACACCATATAAAATTGTATATAATATAGTTAGCACTTGTTCTAATAACTTTAAGCTGTTCGTTTTCCAAAAATTATCATACAACAACAACAACATCATAATATAATATAGTTAGCACTTGTTCTAATAACTTTAAGTTGTTCGTTTTCCAAAAATTATCATACAACAACAACAACATCATAATATAATATAGTTAGCACTTGTTCTAATAACTTTAAGTTGTTCGTTTTCCAAAAATTATCATACAACAACAACAACATCATAATATAATATAGTTAGCACTTGTTCTAATAACTTTAAGTTGTTCGTTTTCCAATCACTTTGAACAACAGACCCGAGATATCTAACATGTACTCTTTTTAATGGCTTGATCACCCAAAATCATAATCCCCCCACTAGATAGCCTTTAGACTCTAAGGTTGACCTACATAATTCAAGTTTTCCTTCAATTGCCTCTCTACTCTTATCAACAAGAAGAATATCATCAGCAAACAGCATACACCTAAGTCCATCCTCTTGCAAATGTCTACTAAGAACATCCATGACAAAAGCAAAAAGATGTGGGCTTAAAGTTGATCTTTAATGTAATCCAATTGAAATAGAAAATTACTTGGTTAAACTACCTTGTGTTTGAACCAAAGTAACAACTCTTGCATACATATCCTTCATGACTTGAATAAAAGCATTATTAACCCCTTTCTTTTCTAGAACTTTCCATAGCACTTCTCTTTGAATTTTATCATATGCTTTCTCTAAATCAATAAATATCATATGTATATCATCCTTATTTTCTCTATATTTCTCCATCAAACCTCTCAATAGCTTCATAATTGACCTACCCGTCATGAATTCAATTTAATTTTGAGAAACATTGGCATCACTTCATAACCTATGCCCAATTACTCTCTCCCATAGTTTTGATGTATGACACATTAACTTAATTCGTTGCACACTCTTGTGCATCACATTTATTTTTAAAAATAGGAACCAACACACTTCTCCACTCATCTGGCATTTTTTTAATCTTCAAAATGATATTAAAAAGTTTAATAAGCCAAGAAATTCCTTAATCTCCTAAGCATTTTCACACCTCTATTGGAATATCATCAAGTCTAACAGTTTTATCACACTTCATTTTCTTTAAAGCCTCTCTAACTTTGATTTTACTAATATGATGATAAAACTATATTATTCTAATTAAGGGTGATAAGGTTGCAAAAGTCAATCATATTCTCATAATCTTCATTTCCAAAAAGTATCATCATTATTCTAATTTCTCACTAATTTTAGAAGATACTGAACCAATTCAAATTGTCATATACAAAAAGCATACATCGAGATATCTCTCTTTATATATTATTCTTAAGCATCTTCATAATCAACACAACAATATATGGGCTCAATCTTGATTCTTTCTTCCTCATGTATGCATTTGGAATAATAGTTCAATCATCTCTTTCCAAATTAGTTTTCCAAACTATCATCTAACACAATTTAAGGTGCATTACCACTAACTATATTTCTAATATCCTCGTTGATAATTAACTAAATAGCAATCACCTTTTTACTAACCATATACACCACAAAAATTTTATCTTTCAACTCTCCCTTCACTACTATCCATACAACATTTATATTGTTAGTCTTTTCCAACATTATAGTATAAGAAGCAGCTTTTAATTTGACAAACAAGTCAATCCCTTCCAAAGATCATAACTTTGCCATTTATGAACGACTGCTTTCATTATGATGAAAAATGAACGACTAACTCCAATTCATAAAGTACTAAAAGCAGTTTCCAAAAACTCCGCCATATTAGTTAGCCCAAGCTATTTCTCTTTTCACTATAACAGATACGAACCAATAGAATTATAAGTGTAAATAAGTCCAGTGGTATACTAATCTTAATATTTTCTAAACGAGAAGACTCACAAGTTGATTCAGAATTTGCTCAAATTTAACTCATCAGCTCATCAAAGCTCGACTGACAAGTCATTTGTTAAGCTGACTCACGAATGGATAGACCCGCTTACACCCTAACCCTTTTACTCAAAGAAATCAGCCGAGATGGTAATCACAACGGGATTGATCCATCGCTTCACAAGAATAATCAACGAACAGGGATTAGAGAAGGACAGGGTTTGAAATAGAGTACCTGGATTAATATAAATATGGCCGCGGCGGCAAATATCAGAAAACCAACATTGCAAATTTTCCTAGCCATTAAACGGTGATGCTAAGGAAGATCACCACCCTAACCTAGGAATCGCCTTCACAGTCACCGTCCCTTCGCTGCTTCAGACACCGTGTTCCACTGTTCCGTGAAAAGTCGTCGGACATAAAATTCCGGAGCATTGCCTTTTTAGGTTTTCTGCGAGTCTGCGACTGCTCGGATCGGCTGAAAATTATATTTGATTTATAAATTCGCTAAATAAATTTGTTTTATTATAAATTTAAAATTTTTACTCGATCAAATGATTTTCAATCTATATTAAATTGAATTAAATCTAGTTTACTTTATTCTATAAATTAATGAAAAATATAATTAAATTTTAGAAAAAATGATTTTTTTAAAGCATATTAAGATGAATGATAATTAATTGTATTCAATTTTATAATTTTATTATATGAAATAAATAATATTCATAGTTATTCTTTAGGTCACTTTTTATTTACATGATTTTATTAATTTAATATTTTAAGAGATAAATATTATTTAGTTTATTTCATTAGTTAAATATATTAAAAATGGAATAAATAACTAAGAACCAAAGCAAATCAAAAGTATACCTTATAACCCAACTAATACTTTAACAATCGAACTAAAATAACAAAATAAAATCAATTTGATTGAACCAAACAATAAACACTCCTACATATCTGATTTAAAAATACATAGAAGTATTAAAATTATTAAAATACTCAAGAACTTTGTCATGAAGAATATTTAAAATTAAAAAAAAATATATTTTATATCGTAATTATATGAAAAAAAGGAAGAAGAAATTTTTAGCTTGTTTACCTGATTGCACGAGAGATCTAAAAAAGTTTAACTTATGCAAACTAATTAGAAGACATTTTTATGATATTTTATCAGGCGCATGCTTATTAGCATAATAAAGCCTTCTATATAATAACTACATATTATCACAAGTAATTTAAAATAATTTATTCTTTTGTACTTATATTATTGATACGACATCAAAAATTACTTTGATCGAGCACGTATCTTGAGGCGTATTCAAGTTGGAAATTTTCAAAATTCAATTTGGGATCATTTGAATTCCAATTTCAATAAACTTATAGTCAAACTGAATGTCTCACAGAGACGAACCCAACGACATTGAAATCGGTCCAACCCGAGACCAAATGGGTCCAAATCGAGGGCCGAACCACATTTGGAAGGATCAAAGCATTATTTGGATGACAAAATGATATCCAAATATGACATTCTTATAATCAAATTGAGCGACATCGGTAAGGCACTTAAACAGTTGAGAAACTCTTCATGATCTGGGGAAACAATACAAGCCATCCGATGAAGCACTCTGAATCAGCCCCGGATCTTCTCTATATTTACGGTGTGTGCCTCTCATAAAAATCTATAAATAAACTCACACTATTTTCATTAAAGGGAACCATTGGTTAGAGATTGGAAAGAGCTCTAAAGCTTTCAAGAGCTCCTACACCATCGCCGGCGAACCCACATTGACTGTCATCAGCTAGATCGCCGCCAGACTTCCACCCGGCTGCCGACCGCCGCCGAACTTCAGCCTGACTGTCGCCGGACCATCACCTGGCCGTCGACAGCCGCCAAAATTTCACCCAACCGTCGACCGTCGACGGACTTCAATCCGGCCTTCATCAGACAACCGCCCCGACGCCGATCGCCGCTGGAATTTGACCAGACCACCGACGACCGTCGAACTTTAGCTTGACCATCGTCGAACCACCGCCCAGCCACCAACCACCGCTAGACTTCTACCTAGCCACTGATCTTCCTCCCGGCCATCGACCGTCGTCGAACCACCGCCCGACCGTCGTTGGACTTCCATGTAGTCGTCAAACTTCCACCCAACCGCCTGTCATCATCAAACTTCAGCCTAACCTTCGTTAGACCACTGCCTGACCGCCGATAGTAGCTGGAGTTCCACCTGGCCGCCGACCACCATCGGACTTCTCTCGGTAGTCGTCGAACCATTGCCCGACCACCGAACGCCACCGAACTTCACTCCGACCATCGTCAGACCAGATCCTAGTCGCCGACTGTGAGACCTCGTTCCTTTCCTGTTGCTGTAGCTACTGGGAAAAGTGATATTTTTCCCAGGATCGTCCGGGCCGATTGGAGATCGTCCAGGCCGATCTGCACTGTAGAAAATATCGTCCTGAGAATAGTTCTGGGAACCACCGCCCAACCGCCAACAGTCCATGGACTTCAGCCTGATCGTCGTTGGACCACCGCCCGGCCGCTGATCGTCACCGACCGCCACGCGGACTTCAGCCTGGCCGTCATCAGACCACCACCCCAGTTGTTGACCACCATTGGACTTCCACCAGATCACCGACCAACGCCAGATTTCTACCCGACATCAAACTTTCGCCTAACATCGGACTCCTGACCTCCGTCATCAACCGACTAGGGTCCCTTTGATATCTTTCATCGACTACGGTCTTTTCGACCTCTTTTGCCCGCCGACTACGGTCCCTTTGATCTCATTCACCTACTACTATATTTCTGACCTCCGTCGCCCACCAACTATGGTCCCTCCGAGCACCATCACTAGACTATGGTCGTCGTTGGACCACCGCCCGGCCACTGATCGTCACCGACCGCCACGCAGACTTCAGCCTGGCCGTCATCAGACCACCACCCAGTTGTTGACCACCATTGGACTTCCACCCGATCACCGACCAACGCCAGATTTCTACCCGACATCAAACTTTCGCCTAACACCGGACTCCTGGCCTCCGTCATCAACCGACTATGGTCCCTTTGATATCTTTCATCGACTACGGTCTTTTCAACCTCCTTTGCCCGCCGACTACGGTCCCTCTGATCTCATTCACCTACTACTATATTTCCGACCTCCGTCGCCCACCAACTATGGTCCCTCCGAGCACCGTCACTAGACTATGGTCTTTTTGACCTCTGTCGCCCGCCGAATACGGTCCTTCCAACCTCTGTCGCCTACATACTATGATCATTCCAACCTCCTTCGTCGACTATGGTCTTTCCGACAACGGTCTTTCCTACCTCCGTCGCCCATCGACTAGTGTCCTTTCAGCCAAACGAACACGTCAATAGTGATTCTTCCTATTCCCACCATGTAATGCACTCAATATGATGTATATTTGTTACATCAAACTAGGACCTCCCCCCTAGGAAGAAACTCATTTGTAACCAACTACAAAAATTATTGGATCATTCCAAACTGGGCTAGATCTCGTGATTTTTCCCCATTTTAGGGATTTTCATGTAAAAACTCTGGGGTCTCTTATAAATGTTGCACCATATATATTATCTGATTATGTGTTGGATCTTTGTACAAAACTAAGATGTTAAAATATATATATTTCCCTACCGTCACGAAAATTCCAGGACACAACAATTATAAATAGTTGATATGTAAATATTAGTATGATTGTGTCCGACAAGCATAACGTCAACATTCTATTTTATCAAATAACAACAATAAGGAATTTTAATATCTAATATGTTGTCAAAAAATCATCTTGATCAGACACAAATCTTGATGCAAATATAAATCAGGAACTTCAAATATTAAATTTGGGACCATCTGAACTCCAATTTTGATAAACTTATAGTCAAACTGAATGTCTATAAATCACTTATATGCTTTGTAAATGTCAATAATGAATACTTAAAAAAATTAAAAAAAATGATATTGTTGCATCTAGGAGTCTTCCCGGTGGTAGATAAATATAAAGTTTAACGTCTTAGCGTTGTACGAAAATCTGGCACGCAATCAGATAAGAGAGTGTGTAGCATTCATAGGAGACACCAATATTTTTACGTGGAAAACCCCTGAAAAGAGGGAAAACCCATGGGTCCTAGCCCAGTTTGAATGAATCCACTAGTATTGCAGTTGATTACAAACGAGGCCTTCCTTGGGGGAAGGCCTGGGCTTAATGTACATTATATGAAATACATTACAAGTTGGGAATACAAAGAGTCACTGTTGACGTATTCGCTTTGTTGGAAGGATTGTAGTCGGTGGGCGACGTAAGTCAGGAGGATCATAGTCGGCTGGCGACGGAGGTCGGAAGGACTGTAGTCAGGGGGCGACGTAAGTCAGAAGGACCGTAGTCGGCTGGCGACGGAGGTTGGAAGGACTATGTCAGGTAGAATTCAATAATGGACGAAAATCCAGCATCAGATATATGTATAGAAAAAATTCGACATCAAGTAGAAGTCTGGTGTCGGATAGAATCTTGGCGACGAGCCAAGGTCCGACGTCGGGTAGAAGTCCAACGTCAGTTGGCGGCCGAGGAGAACTACGGCGTTAGATGGTATTCGGGCAGAACTCCGACGTCACTTGGAGTTCGGGTGAAACCCCGGCGTCACTTTGAGGTCGGGCGGAATTCTGGCATCGTTCGGACAGAATTCCGGCGGCGGTGGTCGAGGAGGAGTTCCCTCCTAATCTTCTTCTCTTCTCATTCTTCTCTTGCTTCTCTTCTTGCTTGGGCTTCCCCCTCAAGAGAAATGAGGGGTCTATTTATAGAATTCTGAAGTGGCATGACCTATAAATAGGTGAGAGATCAGGGGCAAATCAAGAGTGGTTTGAATGGACGGTCGATATTGAAACCCTTAATCATGGACCGTTCATCAGACATTTGAAGGTCTTAATGATATCAGAATTTGGAGATCTTGGGCTCGTTGGATTCGTCTCGTCAAGCCGCTCGATTTGACTATAAGAATGTCATATTTGGGAACCGTTTGGTAACTCAAATTGTTGTTTGAATCTTCCAACAGCTCTTCGGGTCTTCAATTTGGCTTAGATTGAGTCGAATTTGGTGTCGTTGGGTTCGTATTTCCGAGATGATCATTTCAACTATAATTTTGCTGAAATTGGAGTCCAGATGGCCCCAGATTTAATTTTTGAAGCTTCTGGCTTGATTTTGCCTCGAGATTCGTGCCCGATCAAGATAATTTTTTCATGATACATCAGATATAATAGAAAAATAAATTCATTAAACATAAAAATGATTATGTTATTATTCATAGAATAATTAATTTTGTTTTTCAATAAAAGAAACAAAAATTATATTTATTATTTTTAAAAATGATAATTATGGTTGCATAAATGGTATTATGTGGGATACTATGATGTGCTATTGCAAAGTGCAGTTGAAGATCAAACAGATGTGAGTGACAATGCAACATGTTTCATAAAAGAGTTGTCTCACCGCAGCAGTGAACAGAAGGAAGGCGCCACGTGACCGGGTAGAATGGAAAGCCCTCGAAATATGGCAAATTATTAGGTCCGGTTTTTAAAACTTTTAAATCTCTTTATTTTGCTGAGTATGTCAAGGTAGACTGGCATAGATTTATCTGGCATAAAAACCGGTTTTTATATATTATGCCTATGTTTGGTCAGCTATCAAAGATGGGCTGAAAACTGTGGATGTTCTTTCCTCAAGGAAAATTTATATTTCTTCTATTCGTCCCCTTTGCTCTAAGAGGACGAAAGCATTATGCACCTCTTTTTTCAATGCGATTTTACATTTCAGATTTTACTGGAGTTAATTCCTGCTTATATATATCTTTGAGTTGTATTTTTAGTTTTTACTTGTAACCTATTTTGTTATCAATATATGGGCAAAACCTCAATTTTTTTTTTTTAAAAACAACCTGTATTTTATCTATATTTTTGATACATTTAATTTAAAATAATATTTTATTAATATGGGACCTATCTCTAACTTGGATTACCGGCCCTAATAATTTGCCCTCAAAATATACCGTAAATTATATAACCGACAATCGGCACTCGTGTTAGTACGAAGTTCCTTCTACATTCCGGAGCCAAGCCTACGACAGAAGACATCGACCGTCTTCGTCGATTCATGCCGTTCTTCCCGTTCGTCGGGGAGAACGAGAGCGAGCAAGGAAGATAGAGAGATGTCGTGTTCTTCTTCATCGGGTTCGGAGGAGGACGAGGGTGCCGAGGCGTACAGGAAGGGGGGTTACCATGCCGTGAGGCCGGGAGATCCCTTCGACGGAGGGAGGTACATCGCACAAAGAAAGCTCGGATGGGGAAACTTCTCCACCGTATGGCTCGCCTACGATACGAAATATGAGGTTGGATTGCAATCTGCTTCTTATTTTTCATCCGTGCTTTACCTATTTTGTTATTCCGTGCAATGCTCGATGAGCTATTGTATTAGCACAGGAAGTGTAATAATGGGTTTGCTATTTCTTTCCATTGCTATTTGTTTTGGATCCCTACGACTAGAGAAAGCCAGGGTTCTTGATTTTTATTGGTATTTATTATTAACCAGTGATATCTGATGATCAGCACTGAACCTTTTTAATCGCAATACTTTATGCTTAATGCTAATGAATTTATTTGGATCTAAGTTTTCTTTCTACGTTTTATTTGATTTTTTAGGCAACTTTTTATGCCATTATCATTCCCCTAATAGTTTTACTGTATTATAGAAGGTTTCTTAATTCCTGATGATTCTTAATGATGGTTTTGAAGGCCAATCGCATTACGCTCAATTCATGCCATTTTTTATGAGAATTTGTCCCGTGTACTTCGCAGCTTGCTTTTAGTTGCTTTTTACTGATTAATATTTCTTGGGCTAAGCATCTTTTATCTTCACTTGAAAATTCTCTTTATTTTTCTTTGTATGTGAGTTTCTTTCGAAGAAAAAATTTATCTAAACTCCCTTTATTCTCAGAAATTCGTTGCTCTCAAAATTCAAAAAAGTGCTGCAGAGTTTGCACAAGCTGCTGTCCATGAGATTGAGGTTTTATCGGCAATTGCTAAGGGAGATCCCTCAAATAGCAAGTGTGTTGTCCAATTATTTGACAATTTTAAGCATGCTGGTCCAAATGGGCAACATCCATGCATGGTATTTGAAAATCTTGGAGATAGTCTACTTCGACTAATCCGTTATAATCGATATAAAGGAATTGGACTAAACAATGTAAAAGATGTGTGTAGATCCATCTTATTGGGCCTTGATTACTTGCACAGGGAACTTGGTCTTATTCACACGGACTTGAAACCAGAAAATATTCTTCTTGTTTCTACCATCGATCCTATGAAAGATCCGATAAGGTCAGGTTCTGCTCCAATCTTGGTGAGGCCAGAAGGTAACCCAAAAGCGACCTCCGTTGTTAATAGCAGCGAGAAGAAGCTTAAGGAGAGAGCTAAGTGTGCGAGAGCAAGGATATCAAAAAGAAGAGCATCAATGGGAGGTTTTGAACAAGAGGTGGTTGTGCAACAGGAGAGGACTTTAGAGGGGATTGATCTAAAATGCAAAATTGTAGATTTTGGTAATGCTTGCTGGGTGGATAAACAAATTGCAAGCGAGATTCAAACAAGGCAATACAGAGCTCCTGAAGTTATTCTCGGGGCCGGATATTTCTTTTCTGCTGATATATGGTCTTTTGCTTGCATTGCTTTTGAGCTTGCCACTGGTGATGTTTTGTTTTCACCTAAGGCTGGCCAAGGGTTTACTGAAGATGAGGTATGCTTTTCCTTGATTCTAGGACTTGGGAGTTTGTTTAATATTCTTTTCATTTACAAAATATCATGACGAGTTTTTAAAAAAATGAATATTGAGAATAAAACTTTTGCTACATTTTCAATTAATGTTGAGTTTCAAACATTGATGAATTTATTGATGAATTTAACTAATTGAAATAAGGAATAAATGTTCTATAAATACATGAATTTGAATAGTTCTACTATGTTTAAAAATAAGGAAGAATCCAAAAACAATGCTGTCTATGTTTAGATTTGGATTAAGACTTGAGATTAAAAAGGAAATGGCACGGCATAATATTGCCTCCATTGGGGAGGCTTTCAAACTTGTATTGAATTTTGAAAAACTACCAAAAAATGTCCGCATCTAAAATATTTTCTTTATATATTAGAAATATATCCAAAATACCCAAACTTATGACACCCGTGTTAACAAAGGGAAAATTTGTAACTACTACTTCTTGCTCTAAAATTTATTCTAGTATTTGTTTGTATGTTATCAAGCATGCTACTTTTCGACTAAACATCTTAGTAGCTATTTGTGTATAAATATCGAAGAAATTATTGAGGATGATGAAGGAGATGATGCACATTAATTTGATGAGGTGATTAGGGATTCTAGAAATGCATTAATTGATTACTTCTTAAATGATATGCTATGCATCTTTGTCATACATAAGGTTGAGCAGAGCCTAATTGAAAAATAACTTATGTCTTTTAAACACAAAGCATAGTGAAAAACTATGTAAACACATTATCGGCAGGGAAGTTGAATGAATGTTATTGCCAAGTTTTTTATTGAACATATGAATTTGAAAGCTAACCCACACCCATAATCTTTCGAAGTATATTGGGTAGATAAAACTTCAATTTTGGTAATTCTAAGAGACCTGGTATCTATTAAACTTACCGCATATTGTGATAAGATATGGTAGATGTTTTACCTATGTATGGTGCGCATATTTGTTTTGATAGGCCTTAGTTGCATGATTTGGATGTGACAAACTTTGATAACGATGATATTTATGTTTTTAAGATGAATCAAAAGACAATAGTTTTGAAACCTATTAAATCTAAGGGTTGTTTCGTGTTGAAATAATTTAATAGTCCTAATGAGCTAAAGAAATCTTGTATTTATCATGAATCACCATTCTTTTGAAAAAGAAAATAAAGCTAAGGGAGTAATTTTAGCCTTGATTGAAATTTAATTACATAAAGGTATGACTGCTTGAGGATTTTAGCCATTTATTATTTGATTTTTAAGAATTATCTTGATGACCATGACCTTCCTGATGAATTACCTCCACTTAGGGATATACAAGTTGCCACTGACTTGATTCCTTGATCATTGTTACCTAAGTTATCAAATTACATAATGAATTCACTAAGCATGTTGTGAACTTAAAAGCCAAGTAAATGAACTATCTTGGAAATGATTTATTAGGGATATTATGAATTTGTGTGTTGTTTTTATATTGCTTACACTTAAGAAGGACAATAGATAAAGGATATAATGGATAGTCAAACAATTAATAAGGTCATCATCATATATTTATTTCTTATGCTTAGGGAAGTTGATATGTTAGATTTAATGATAATCTATTATTCTCTTAAATATTGATATAAGGAGTGATTACCATAAAGTGGAATTGAAAGAAGGCGATGAATGAATTATTACTTTTAAGAATAAAGATGTTTATATAGTAGTTGGTGACACCTTTTAGGATAATTAATGCACCACTTTCATTATAGATTAAATGACGAAACATCTTAGTAGGAATTTGTGTATAAATATCAAAGAAAGTTATTGAGGATGATGAAGGAGACGTGCACATTAATTTGATAAGGATATTAGTGATTCTAGAAATGTATTAATTGATACCTTCTTAAATGTTATGTTATGCATCTTGGTCATACATAAGATTGACCCTAATTGAAAAAGAACTTCTATCTTTAAACGCAAAGCATAGTGAAAAACTATGTAAACAGACTTGATTCCTTGATTGTTGTTACCTGGTTTATCAAATTGCAGAATGAATTCAGTCATGTTGTGAACTTAGAAGCCAGGTAAATGAACTATTTTAGAAATGATTTATTAGGGATATTTTGAATTTGTGTTTCATTTTTATATTGCTTACACTTAAGAAGGACAATAGATAAAGGATTTGTAGGGATAGTCAAAACTATTAATAAGGTCACCATCAAATATTTATTCTTATACTTAGGATAGGTGATATGTTAGTTTTGGTGATGATCTACTATTCTTTTAAATATTGATATAAGGAATGGTTAGCATAAAGTGGAATTTAAAGAAGGCGAAGAATGAATTATTACTCTTAAGATAAAAATTGTCTGTATGGTAGTTGGTGACGCCTTTCAGGATAATATAGAATGCTATATTTATTAACAATTATAAAATATGGAGTATTTAATATATGCCTTATAATTTGATATATAATAGAAAAGTGATATACATACCTAACTTGAAGACAAACTTTGGAAGTGAACGCGCAAAGTAAATTTTCTAATAATTTATATTATGCATAGCATTAACAAATGATTACAAGATTAAAACTAGTGGTGTTTTGCTATAAAAAATAGAAACTTCATGATTGTATAAAACATATTTGATTCATAACAAAGCTTATATTTAAATGCATAAATTCTCAAGTTTGATAAAGCAAGTTAGATAAAGCAAGTTAATGGGGGAATTCATGATCTCTTTAAATTTTTTTATCTTCAAATTATTCTTTTTTTTTCTCTATTCTTCTTTGTGCGAGTCTATCTCATATTATCGTTCTTGAACAATAGGAGTAGATGCTGGTCGAGACGAACTAGCCTTTGTTGTGGATGAACCCCCTCTTGTTTTAAAATAAATCTAATTTAAAAAAAAAATCCATATTTTGTTGACACAGAGAAATTACATAAATTAGATAAATAAATAGAAATCTCACAATTCATTACATAAATAAGATAATTGCAATTCACAAATTACTAAACAATTACATAATTTGTTAAAATCATATAGAAGTCACAAGTGACATCTAATGAATATCACAATTTCTTTCTAAAATTTATAAATCACAAATGACATTTAATGAATAATTTTGTCCCTGCACCTGGACCCCAATTCAACTGTGGGGTGATAGACACAAGAAGACGACAAGCCATATGATCATTGTCATGAGATTCGTGGCAACTGCTTTAAGATATATGAAAAACCCTTGATTATAGATCAAGAAAAAACATGAAATAATAAAAGGCATGGCTGCATGATCATCGTCGAGGCTATGTTTTCCAACCAAGTCCATTCAATAAAGAGCAAATTGAATTCTTCAAATATAGGATCTACAGTGAGCCAACCTTATGTATCCGCCAGAGTCTCAACAAGGCTTGTTGCCTTTGGACCTATATTGAGCTAAGTTTCAGTTTTTGAAAAAAAAAAAAATTCTTTGAACATTCTCATTATTGCATTTAGAAAAGCAAAAACGTAGCTCAGCTCCTCTGTTATTACATTTTGAATAACAAGAATTCCATCATGTTATTACACTATTGCTCAGCTCCTCTGAGTTTTTTATACTTAAAAATAATTTCTAAATTCAACCAGTATTCGTGTTCTTATCAATATGAAAGTTATCAGTTATCCAAATACATTGTCAACCCTTTTCTTAGTCACTTGGATAAGCGAAATCACCATTTTTCTTGATCTATAGTGATGTGTGAGGACCATCTTTGGTCAACAAAATCAATGACTCAAGATGGTTTGTTACTCTTGACAATAATTAGAGAGATTTTATTGTGTTTCATTCCATCAATTGTATTAAATTTATATAAATCTTGAAGAACCGCTAATAGGATATATACAAATTTTAGGGGCTGAATTTAGTTAATGAAATTTAATTATAATAGGGCAAACCGTGAGTTATTGAGGTGGCAGTAATGATCACATGAATCAATGATGTGGAAATTGACTATTGTGTGCTTTGAAACTATGTGCCCAACTTTTTTACATGAGAGTAGGTTTGGGTAGAAATTTGATAAGATATACTATTTAGAGATTTGCTTTCTTTTAATGAGAAATTTATGATCAAGTTTGATGTCTTTCATAGGTTTAAGCTCCTATGATTAATTATCTCTCCATGGCATGGGAGAGAAATTTTAATTAAGACTAGTCGATGGGCACTAAATATTTAGATTATAGTGACAATTTTGTTATTGAAAAGAGAGAAATATACCACGATTAGCTTAGAGTAAGTGGTAGGGGAATGATAATGAACATGATACTATCTCGGGTTGATGTGGACCTCGATTTACTTAGTCATCAACTATAGTCTACCTAATATGGCCTAAAGATCCTTATCACCAATCATAAGTTTCATCATCTAAGGGAACTTTACCTAGGTGGATGATTTATTAATGGGATAATCTTAAGGCAACCTTAACTAACAAAGAATTCTACATCCCATTGAGTGTACTTTATAGTTCATAATTCATATGGAGTTTTCAGGCTTTTGACACAACACAAATTTAATGGTGCTATTTTGTAGTGAACCAACCGATTAGAAGGGCTTGGTTGGTGTGGGCTCCGAAAATTTATGTTTGGTTCGTCTTAAGATAATTTTGTGTTTCTGGTCAAATTTGCAAAAAACTGATTGGACTATAGATAAGACAGTAATCATATATTTTGCTCTCATTTTGGATGAATTTAAGATGACTCTTGGTTTTCCAGAGAAACAAGTTTCTATGGTTAATTTCCTTCTTGATGAGTGAATTTTGAATTATGGCTAATTAGTAGACGCTAAATGCTTAGCTTATTGTAGAAGAATTTTGATTTTAGATTGAGAAAATATATAACCTTTTGCTTAAAATAGATGGTGTGGGTTTGTGGGAATGTTGATGAACATGATCAAGATACAAGGGTTCTATAATCCTGGGCTGTCATAGGCCTTGATATTCTTAGCGGAGATAATCGACCTATTCTGA